CATCATAATGAATTCTAACTGTAGGTTTTAGTAAACCTGTTACCAAAAAATTAACAGAAAAAAAGACTCCCAATACTAAAAGTTTATTCTAGACCACTTAACTGCTTATCTCAGCTAAGGTCTACTTTCCCCACCCATGCTGAATTTGACAGAAGCACGAGACTTGCTCTTCTAGATGGTTGGACAGTCTTAATTGGTCCAAAGCAGCCTGAGAATTATTATTATTATTTTTATTTTTTTAAGTGTGACATATTTAACACATTGTAATATTAGAGGCACTAACTCAAGCATTTGTCATACATCTGATAACAATGTCTCGAAACGCATAAACTTGAATACCACAGGCTGCACAGGTAAGACTTAGTCCTGGTTATGTCATCTGCCTTGTGAGCAAGTGCAGAACAAGGACACTGTTGCACTCTGATGGTTGAAAGTACTGTGGTAACCTTATTTGTGTGTATGCACACAGATGTGTCTTGCTTGCCTGCCATGGGCCTGTATTTAGGATCAGGTCCCCTGTGTCCAAATAATCATATACATTGTGATCTAACTTTATGAATACGGGCCCTGGTCTAGTTGCCACTTTGTCGTGAAATGATGAGCTTGAAGAAAGGTCAGGTTCACCACAAAACAAAAGTCTCCTAAACTAAAGCAGCCCTCAGTCTCCCCCTTTTCATTAGAAATGCTGTCATGGTCATTTTAAACTGCATTCTCAGCCAGTCAGTTCAGTGTCCCCCCAATGTGCTTCTCTGGCGTGATAATCCCTCAACACCCACACACATGCATGCATACACGCACAAGAGCACTCCCATGCGCATGCCCAAGGCACCAAGGGGCCAAGCGTGGGGGGCTATCTGCACATCCCAGATTGTCTTTTTGTGCACAAATTAATACAGGGGCTTTGTTGGCGCTGCCTGGAGTATTTTGTGTGAGCATACACGTAATCCTCCCTCTACATGAGGGCAGCGCAGGGTAACACTTGGTCCAGCGGCACTGAGTACAGCCCTGACATTAAAACTAGTACACCACTGAACTTACACTACTGGAGTGGCAGTGTTCATGATTAGAAGTGAAAATGTCAGGTGTCCTGCTGCTATGCTCCTCTGTCTGTTTGAGTCTCCGAGACACAGTCGCTGTGACAAAGTAAAGCATTGTGACTTACAGGACAGTACAGTACAGAGAGAATTCTGCTAATTTCTTGTGTAGCAGACTGCCACAACTAGAGGAGTGTGGGTTGTTGTCTTATTTACTACCACATGTATTTTAGGACTAGTGCTGTGATGAGTTGTGCCAACTTACAAAATAAATCATTATTGGAGAAGACTGAATGAGATCCGAAACAAAAACAAGAAGTGGGTGAATGGAAGAATTGTGAAGTTAACCATGTGGGGTGTACTTGTTAACATTCTGAGTAAGCCAGTCAGGAAGAATGTTGTGACAGGGGAGATATTCACCAAGCCACACAAGAAAGCAATATTGGAGAAGACAGAAAGACTAAACAAGAACTAGGGAAGAATTGTAAAGGTGGATACACAAGTGATGCTCCATGATGATCATAGATGGATTTAATATGAGCATTATTCTGCCCTACAAAGGAAAAGTGCAGTAACTACGAATTTGGTTAATTAAAAATATTTGATCTGTTGTAATAGCCAGGTATACACTGAGTATACAAAACAGTACGAACGCCTGATTTTTCCATGACATAGACTGACCAGGTGAATCCCTGCGACAGCTATGATCCCTTATTGAGGCCAAACAGTTTCCTGTGGGTAATCATGAATGGTCCACCACCCAAAGGACATCCAGCCAACTTGACACAACTGTGGGAAGCATTGGAGTCAACATGGGTCAGTATCCCTGTGCAATGCTTTCGACATCTTGTGGACTCCATGCCCTGACAAATTGAGGACAGTTATTTGTAGTGAATAGTGGAGAGGATAAGAGAGAAAGAAGGGAGTAAAGAGTGTTTCAGCTTGAGAGAGCGTCTATCCCTGCTCTGCTGCTCAGTGTCTCCAGGAATATGTCACATTATCATCCACACCTCAATTATCTTACCTTTTAAATGGCAAAAATTCCATATTTTATGAGTTACAACCAGATCCATGCTGTTCCCTTTCCTCCTCCAACACCTACCTAGGACTATCATAAACTGTAGCAGCAAATGCATTTGACATCTCTTACCTTTTTTTTGGCACTACAGTACTTCCATATATACTTCCATATATATATATATTTTTAACTGCTACCGGGCTAACTTCAGATGAGGCTTGTGAGGCTTGTGGGCATCCTAGAGACATGACGTGTTCGTGAGAGTCTCACTTTTCGATGGTGGGGTCATATTAGTGTGTAGCCCAAACTGTTCAAACACTACAGACAGAAGTTGGCAGAACGGCGGTACCGACTTCAGCTTGTGGTCGTGTAGCAAAACTGAGAACACCATTGTGTTCATGAGAGTCTCATCTTTTCATAGAGGGGTCATATTATTTTTTAGGCCCACACCATTCGGACGCTAGACGTTTTTTGTGAGAAGACCGACTTTTGGGATGTGTCCTGGTCTGCCAAACACCGCTGTAGCGCAGATGTGCAAAAAACAACAACATATATCTCTATCTTATACAGACATATTTTGATGGGACATTTTTATGACACTAATTCAATTTATTTTACAGACTTTTATGTCCTAGAACAAAAATTATAAAATGTAATTTCATTAAATGTGTTATTATTATTATTAATGGTATTAATTTTTTTACTCAGAAAACTGGCCGCCTATTGGGGAACCCTGGCCAAGGGGGTGTCCCAAATAGGACCCTTTTATAGGGAATAGGGGCCATTTGGGACGAAGCTTGTCACTGGGAGTGACTGAGTGGTCCACAGTCCTTGATAGACTGAGAAAGAACACGAGTGGCTCAAGAGACTTAGTGCTTGTCACCCTGACGCACAATACAGACAGTTATTTGTAGTGAATAGTGGAGAGGATAAGAGAGAAGAAGGGGAGGGGAAAAGAAGAGAGAAAGAAGGGAGTAAAGAGTGTTTCAGCTTGAGAGAGCGTCCATCCCTGCTCTGCTGCTCAGTGTCTCCAGGAATATGTCACATTATCATCCACACCTCAATTATATTACCTTTTAAATGGCAACAATTCCATATTTTATGAGTTACAATCAGATCCATGCTGTTCCCTTTCCTCCTCCAACACCTACCTAGGACTATCATAAACTGTAGCAGCAAATGCATTTGACATCTCATACCTTTCTGTCCCACCTCTCAGGTTACTTTCTAAAGATAGGTAATTACGATGCAGACTGTCTGAAAAAGTGGACATATCTTTATTCTGTCTTTGTTTGTGCTTTGATGTTTGGGTCACAGTATGCTCATGCTGTGTCAGACCTGTATTCCCTGTGAGTGTCCTCTGTCCTACATGAGATTGACCACTAATCATGTCTCTGTGGCCTGCTGTGGGGTTATCTGGAGAGAGACCCCACTATGACCCTAGCCTGGTCCTACATCTGTTTGTGCTGTCTTTCTAAATGGTATGGTCATGTTTGACATGACAACGACCATAAGAGTTGGCTATTCATCACAAGTAGATCTGAGGCCAGGCTACTCCCAGTATTGTATGTTGTATGTATTGTATGTATGTTTACCTACCTACCTGTTGTCCTATCTACCCCGGTTGAGCAAAAGCGTGCAGACTTACTACTCAAACTCTGAGTTTGATATTAAAGGGTCACTGAAGGGTCATTCATGGATAAATGGAGGGATGTATTGGTGGATGGAGGAAGGGAACAAAGGGTGGATGTGTTGAGGGAGGGAGGAGTGGATGTATTGGGTGGTAGTATATGTGCGGGTATGGATTAGGCTACTGTATGGCTGAATTGAGTTACAGTGCAGTTGGAACCAGGGTTTCTGACTGTCCTTGTTCACTGACCTGAAACCAAATATATCGAATAAACTCATTGTTGTTTTTTACTGCAGTATTTTTGTTCAACACTTTTTTCATAGTTTCATTCCCTGTAGACCACAACATTCTACCATAGCTACAGATTGTAGGCTAGGACAGAAATGTCCTAGCCTACAAGGACAGAAACGTTGCTGTTATTTCACTGCAAGGAGTCCCATCTACCCTAAGGGTATATATTAAAATAGTGTTTAACCTTTTTTTCTTCAAACTTGACTTTTAAAACTTTCCAGCCTTTCAGCAAGACCCACTTTTTCATCAGTCAAATTGACCTCACTAAACACATCTACACTGTGCCCAGGCAGTCAGTCTACAGCAGTTGAAAGCCTCAGCCCTCAGCTATAATGAACTCAACATGGCCCCTATGAATCAAGCCAATTACTCTGTCCATGTCACTGCACATACATTTCCCTGTCTTGTCTCACTAACAACTTTAAATGGGCTGCAGAAGTATGGCTGACAAATTGAGCTCCAGCAGTTTATGCAGCAGTGATGTAGGCCAAGAATGAGTGACTCTGAGAGGCTTCGAGAAAGTTCTCAGGAAAAACAGTAGTTGGTTTGGCTTAGAAGTATGCTATGTAGAACAAACATGCCTCTAACATGTAGAATATGGAATCATGTGAGCTCATCTGTGCTCATTTCCTACCACTTTTATTTCCTGTTGTGTAGGTCCAGCCCTAAAGCGCCAGCGAATGAGAAGAAGGAACGCCCACGGAGCACCATGAGTAGTGAGGCCTCCAACTACACATGCGGTTCAGACTACGCTACTCACCCCAGTTGCCCCGCAGCGAGAGTGAGTTATAGTGATTACGCACACACACGCATGCTCACGCACACTCACTCGCACACACACAAACACACACCTGAAGGAAGCATTTCACGGTCATGTCTACACCTGTTGTATTCGGCGCATGTGGCCAATACAATTTGATTTGATTTGATTTGAAACTATAATAAACTAGATTCTAGAGGAACTTAACATCAATGGGAGTGTATAATTGGTATGTATATGCTCATACGCCCTCTTACTCATTTTCAGCCCTCAAGATCCTCGAAAAAAATTCACAACTTTGGGAAGAGATCTAACTCGATAAGAAGGAACCCCAATGCAGCGGTCATCAAGAGTAACTGGCTTTACAAACAGGTGAGTGTGTGTGTGTATGGCTTTAAATAGCAGTATACAGTAGTCACTACAGTGAATCAGTCTATGAGTCAGGGAGACAGAGGGTTTTTCTGAAAATTCATACTACCATGCTCCGAGCACGCAAATTGGAGTTCGGGAGGGTCGGAGTATGAGTCCAAATCAAAGTATGCGGAACGAAGCACAGAGGGCACTTCTCGAATGCGTACTCCGTCTGTACATATTTTGAAGCATGCATCGATGCAAGCTTCAACGGAAAGTATGCAAATAAATATGACGCAACCACATAATAAAAATGGTGCAACATTTCCTGAAATCAATGGTGGCCATTATTTGAGCTGAAGCGAGAGAAAATACATTCCGACTTCGGAATGAAATGTTGCCTATTCACATCTCATATGTTGCCTGACTACAATATTTTAGCTTGATACTTTAATAAATAGATGCTGTGTTAATTTTATCATGTTTACTTGCCTATGTACCGTAGATCACAAGCCCATAATAAGTCAATAGGGCTAACTGGCTAGCTACTGCGGTTAGCTAGCCAGATAGCCACGAAGAATTGACAACTATCTTGCATAATATTAGTTTTAGGTCATTTTTGCCTGTTAAACTATCTGGTTAGCTACATTATTATGATTCACATATCTAGCTGATAATTATGAAGTAAAACATTTGCTTTGTGTATATTTTGTGTCGTCTATTGCTGCCATTGTCCTGGCTGGAAGAAGGTTCAGTGAATGGGGTGAAGCGTGAGGTAATACAGTAGGGAGAGTGCGAGTGCTTCTCAAATGTAATGTTTTATGTGTTCTCCACACTCTCGTCCTCACAAGAACGTACTTAAGAGAATGTGCACTCGGAGCATGAGAGTGTGGAGCACGGTAGTATGCATATTGAGAAACACCCAGAGTCTTGACATGTCATTTTGTTTTTGATTATTGGGAAAGTTGGTACAACTTGTTTGCTCCATTTGCAGATATGGACAATTGACCTCAACCTACACTATATATACAAAAGTGTGTGGACAACCCTTCAAATTTGTGGATTTGGCTATTTCAGCCACACCTGTTCCAGACAGGTGTATAACTTCGAGCACACAGCCATGCAATCTCCATAGACAAACATTGGCAGTAGAATGGCCTTACTGAAGAGCTCAATGACTTTCAACGTGGCATGGTCATAGGATGCCACATTTCCAACAAGTCTGTTCGTCAAATGTATGCCCTGCTAGAGCTGCCCTGTTATTGTGAAGTGGAAAGGTCTAGGAGCAACAACAGCTCAGCTGTGAAGTGGTAGGCAACACAAGCTCACAGAACGGGACCGGCGAGTGCTGAAGCGCGTAGTACATAAAACACTCACTACCGAGTTCCAAACTGCCTTTGGAAGCGACGTCAGTGGTGTAAAGCTCGCTACCATTGGACTCTGGAGCAGTGGAAACGCGTTCTCTGGAGTGATGAATCATGCTTCACCATCCTTCAGTCCGACGGACGAATCTGGGTTTGGTGGATGCCAGGAGAACACTACCTGCCCCAATGCATAGTGCCAACTGTAAAGTTTGGTAGAGGAGGAATAATGGTCTGGGGCCGTTTTTCATGGTTCGGGCTATGCCCCTTAGTTCCAGTGCCAACTTTGTGGCAACAGTTTGGGGAAGGCCCTTTACTGTTTCAGCTTGACAATGCCCCCGTGCACAAAGCGAGATACATACAGAAATGGTTTGTCGAGATCGGTGTGGAAGAACTTGACTGGCCTGCACAGAACCCTGACCTCAACCCCATCGAACACCTTTGGGATGAATTGGAACGCCAACTACGAGCCAGGCCTAATCGCCCAACATCATTGCCCGACCTCACTAATGCTCATGTGGCTGAATGGAAGCAAGCCGGAGCAATGTTCCAACATCAAGTGGAAAGCCTTTCCAGAAGAGTGGAGGCTGTTATAGCAGCAAAGGGGGGACCAACTCCATATTAATGGCCATGATTTTAGAATAAGATGTTCGACAAGCAGGTGTCCACATACCTTTGGTCATGTAGTGTACCTCAAATCTTCACTCTACAGCACAACAGATACACGTTTTCAAATTCTCTCATTTTGTGCCATTCCCTTCTCTTCTATGAATAATGTAGAGGGGCTTACGTTCCCTCCCTGTGCTGTCAGAGTTTGATCAACAGTCTTAAGACGGGCAGCACAATGGAACCTTTCCAATGTCTTACAGGATCTGATGATTGCTTTTGTCCAGCCTCTAGCCTTTCTGTTCTGCTCTGCCAGTCAAACAGACTGTGTGTGTGTGTGTGTGTGTGTGTGTGTGTGTGTGTGTGTGTGTGTATGCCAGTCAAACAAGCAATATAAAGCAGTATTTAAATAGCCATTTCCTTAATCACAGTGCCATGGTTACATACACCAAGGCCTGTACTCATAAAAGTGTCTCAGAGTAGGAGTGCTGATCTAGAATGAGGTCCACCCTGCCAATTTCATCATATTCATTATTATTCAAAAAGCATAACTGATCCTAGATTAGCACTCCTCTGAGATGAGACTATATGTGAATACGGGCCCCAGGTTGAAGAGGGGTGAGCCAGAGGGGTCCTTCTTATTCTTTTACACTCAGGCACAAAGTAGGACCTCCTCATTTAGTTGTGATTACGACCATGCACAGTTGTGTGAACACAAGACCCAGGGCTTTCACTCCATACAGCTGGCAGCTGGTGTATTGAAGGGGACCCCGTTGAGCTGGTGGTGTGTGGGCATGCACTTGCAAGCGTGTGTGTGTGCAAGTGTGTTAATGTTTTTTTTTTTTTTCTTTGAGGGGACTTCATTCAGGGTGATCGTAGTAGTTGAAGTTCAGAGGGAGAGAGCTGGATTGACACTTCTCTTCTGTTTCTCTTCACTCAGACCTGCAATCTGTTGAAGTTCTGTTCTCTGCTGAAACGGGCTGCAGCACTACTTCAATGGATCCAGGCTGGGCACCACATATTGTCACACTGATTAATTGTGAAGGCCTAACATGCACCCCAAATGGCACCCTATTGCCTAGTGTACTACTTTTGACCAGAGCCCGTGCACATATGTCACTGGTCAAAAGTAGGGCACTTTGTAGGGAATAGGGTGCCATTTGGGACGCGACCCACCTTTTTTCTCTTCCCGCTCAGCCCAAGCTGTATTAATAGTCGTGTGTGTGATCTATCTGACAAACATAATGGTTTGAGAATGGAATGGTACCTCATCCATGAACAGATCAAAGCACAGGCAAGACACTCAGGAATATAATCATAAGGGAGCCGGCATGGTGGTGGATTCTATTATTAGAACAAAGACATTTCAATACATCTCAATATTGTCATTGAAAGAAAATGCACATACCACCTGGGAATGTTTGTATATGTCTGATCTTCAAATGTACTGGGATCATATGTCTGATATGTAATGTAGTGTAATGCCACCAGAACCAACCAATCACACGCCAAGCAAGTTTAGAGATGGATAAACATTGGTGGCCTGAGGATTTTCCACTAAATGGTAATGAGAGCGAATTAAAATCACTCTGGGTCCGTGCTGGTTACATAATTGAGTCCTAGATTGTAGTTCTGGAATCCTAGATTAATTTAAGGAGTTTAGAGTTTTTAAAAGAAGGAGAACGTTTTCCAGTAAAGAGAAGCGAACCAAGGCAGTTGTTACCCTCTCCTTCAACCCCCTACCTCACCATCTCCTGTTACAAACAGCAGCCTGAAAAGCCCTTTAAACACAGCATCCACTGATACCGGAGAAGGACTGCAGTGGAGAGGCTTTATTATTCAAACCCAACACAGCACTCAGAACTATGTGTTTGTGTGCGTGCCTTTATTTTAATACATAACAATGACCCCTGTCTTAGGGGAAGGTTGTTTTCATTTTTAGCACATCTGGAGTGTACAACTCACTTTATTTATCTTCTTTATCTAGTACCAGTAACCACATTCTACGTCTGAACAGAACACCAGATGACTGTCAGATGAGCCTTGTTTCTAGCTCTTAGAATGAGTGACTCAGCAGAAATACATTGTAACAATGAAGTTATTCTCTTTTTGTACTCGTTGGGTAAAATAACCATTATCAATACATTTATTGTGTACAGAAGGTGGGCTAGTTTCTCAAACCTCTCCTTGGGGATCCAAAGCCATTCCATGTATTCAACTGCTACATTATCAAGCTTTTGACTAGTTGTAAGGTGAGCTAGTTCGGGCAACAATAAAATTGCGAAATATCTGGGGGTCTCTGAGGAGAGGTTAATGTCCTCACAATGACATAATTTGGTCTGACTGTTTCTGTGTTCCTCTTTTGTGTTTCAGGACAGCACGGGGATGAAGCTTTGGAAGAAGAGGTGGTTCGTGCTTTCAGATATGTGCCTGTATTACTACAGAGGTTAGTCCACTATGAAGAACACCTGTATTTTTTCTAAACAGTAAGCATAAATGTATCACAACAGATACTAGTCTCATCCTTGATTCTAGTGCCTATATCTGCAAATGTGTGGTACAGAAATGCCATTTTGACGTTCATGGTGTCTTGAATCTCTTGCTGTAACTGGTCAGAAGTAAACATGGTAGACAACAAGGCCTATGGCCACCTGGGGTGTGACCATCTCTGCTGAGCGGCTTCACTGGCGTGCGGTTCTGTGGTTGTGTCCCTGTGCTTATACCAGATCTATATAACGCACACATACACTCACGCAATGGGTTGGGTAGGTTACTTTCTAAATGTAATCCGTTATGGTTACTAGTTACCTGTCCAAAATTGTAATCAGTAACGTAACTTTTGGATGACCCAAACTCAGTAATGTAATCTGATTATATTCCCTTTAAGAGGCTGTAGAAGAAGACAACAAGGATCCATCAAATGCATGTGTTGTGTCATCATAGTGGCTCTGACTTGTGGTCAGACTCGCTCAGGTGGAACAAACTTAAACTTAAAAAAAAAAAAAATAATTTGCAAACATCCTTTCGGAATTTAAAAGTAATCCAAGAAGTAATCATCTAGTTTTCCAAAAGTATCTAGAATCTGATTACAATAATTTGGCTGGTAATGTAAATGATTACAGTTAGTTTTTTTTTTTTGTAATCAGATTACATGTAACTGGTCAGAAGTAAACGTGTTAGACCTTCTCTGCTGAGTGGCTTCACCGGTGTGCGGTTCTGTGTTTGGGATTCTGTTACTCCCCAACCCTGCACACACACACTGAACTCAATGCAGACTGGCACTCAGGGAAACCAATGGCTTGAAAATGGCAGAAATAAGTCAAGTGCTTAGATGGAGGGCATAGATTTCATGACTGCCAAACCTCCACTCTGCCAACGGGTAAACCCCTCACCCCTTCACCCCCCCATCCTCCCCATGCCCCCATGTCTGTCTGACCACAGCAGTGTGTGTGTGTGTGTGTGTGTGTGTGTGTGTTTGTTTGTGTGCGTGCATACATGTCTGGCCACAGCAGTTTGCACTGACTCCCAGGGTTTTGTCTGTCTGTCAGGGACAGAAAGAGAAAGCGGAGGGAGGGCGACAGGAGAAGCAGACAGGCATCAGAAACAACAGACCTGTCGTCATCGTGGTCAGCAGAAATGATGTCTGTCCACACAAAGAGAGCAGCTATCTGTCTGGACAGGAGCCAAGGCAAACGACAGTTACAGCTCGGCTCGGTAGCAGAGCAGGGCCTGTATTTTGCCTTGTACAGGGAAGACCAGATCCTAAATCAGCACTTCGACTTTAAGCACTACTCCTACTCAGTACTCCTACTCTTTATGAAAATGGGCCAGAGCGGTACTGTAGCTACCTAACCTGGATCATTGATTCACAACCAATTTGGATTCTTTTTTAAGGGTGGAGAGGCTCTCAAACTCTCTGAACAGCTGTGTCAATATTTCATGAATCTGAACATTTGCAGAGAGAGAGAGAGATATTTAGTTAATAGCAGCCCAAGTCTTAGCTTTCCAGCAGCACACTGCATGTTTATGTTCCCTATTGGGCAATCCCTATGGAAGAGAGGAAGGAGGAATCCCCAACAGTAGAGTTGGCTGGTATACCATATATAGGGTCCTGGTATACCATATACAGTGAGGGAAAAAAGTATTTGATCCCCTGCTGATTTTGTACGTTTGCCCAATGACAAAGACAAGATCAGTCTATAATTTTAATGGTAGGTTTATTTGAACAGTGAGAGACAGAATAACAACAAAAAAATCCAGAAAATTGCATGTCAAAAATGTTATAAATTGATTTGCATTTGAATGAGGGAAATAAGTATTTAACCCTCTGCAAAACATGACTTAGTACTTGGTGGCAAAACCCTTGTTGGCAATCACAGAGGTCAGACGTTTCTTGTAGTTGGCCACCAGGTTTGCACACATCTCAGGAGGGATTTTGTCCCACTCCTCTTTGCAGATTTTCTCCAAGTCATTAAGGATTTGAGGCTGACGTTTGGCAACTCGAACCTTTAGCTCCCTCCACAGATTGTCTATGTGATTAAGGTCTGGAGACTGGCTAAGCCACTCCAGGACCTTAATGTGCTTCTTCTTGAGCCACTACTTTGTTGCCTTGGCCGTGTGTTTTGGGTCATTGTCATGCTGGAATACCCATCCACAACCCATTTTCAATGCCCTGGCTGAGGAAAAGAGGTTCTCACCCAAGATTTGACGGTACATGGCCCCGTCCATCATCCCTTTGATGCGGTGAAGTTGTCCTGTCCCCATAGCAGAAAAACACCCCCAAAGCATAATGTTTCCACCTCCATGTTTGACGGTGGGGATGGTGTTCTTGGGGTCATAGGCAGCATTCCTCCTCCTCCAAACACGGCGAGTTGAGTTGATGCCAAAGAGCTCCATTTTGGTCTCATCTGACCACAACACTTTCACCCAGTTCTCCTCTGAATCATTCAGATGTTCATTGGCAAACTTCAGATGGGCCTGTATATGTGCTTACTTGAGCAGGGGGACCTTGCGCTGCAGGATTTCAGTCCTTCACGGCGTAGTGTGTTACCAATTGTTTTCTTGGTGACTATGGTCCCAGCTGCCTTGAGATCATTGACAAGATCCTCCCGTGTAGTTCTGGGCTGATTCCTCACCGTTCTCATGATCATTGCAACTCCACGAGGTGAGATCTTGCATGGAGCCCCAGGCTGAGGGAGATTGACAGTTAATTTGTGTTTCTTCCATTTGCGAATAATCGCACCAACTGTTGTCACCTTCTCACCAATCCAGGCTCTGTCGTAGCCGGCCATGACCGGGAGACCCATGGGGCGGCGCACAATTGGCCCAGCGTCGTCCAGGGTAGGGGAGGGAATGGCCGGCAGGCATGTAGCTCAGTTGGTAGAGCATGGCGTTTGCAACGCCAGGGTTGTGGGTTCGATTCCCACGGGGGGCCAGTATGAAAAATATAATGTATGCACTCACAAACTGTAAGTCGCTCTGGATAAGAGCGTCTGCTAAATAACTAATAAAAAATAAAATAAAAATAAAAAAAATAAAAAGCTGCTTGGCGATGGTCTTGTAGCCCATTCCAGCCATGTGTAGGTCTACAATCTTGTCCCTGACATCCTTGGAGAGCTCTTTGGTCTTGGCCATGGTGGAGAGTTTGGAATCTGATTGGTTGATTGCTTCTGTGGACAGGTGTCTTTTATTCAGGTAACAAGCTGAGATTAGGAGCACTCCCTTTAAGAGTGTGATCCTAATCTCAGCTCGTTACTCGACACCTGGGAGCCAGAAATCTTTCTGATTGAGACGGGGTCAAATACTTATTTCCCTCATTAAAATGCAAATCAATTTATAACATTTTTGACATGTGTTTTTCTGGATTTGTTGTTGTTATTATGTCTCTCACTGTTCAAATAAACCTACCATTACAATTATAGACTGATCAATTCTTTGTCAGTGGGCAAACGTACAAAATCATCAGGGGATCAAATATTTTTTTCCCCTCACTGTATAGGGCCCTGGTATATCATATATAGGGCCCTGGTAAACCATATATAGGGTCCTGGTATACCATATATCGGGTACTGGTATACCATAGGGTCCTGGTATGCCAATGGGGCTGGGGATCAGAAATGTCTGGTGCGAGAGAGGCAGGTTGAGGTTTCCAAGGTTGGAGTAGTGCAGAAGTTGTCGTATACTGAGGCAGTGAAGAAAGTAGAGGAAGATGGGTCAAGGGGGAGGGATCCTGAGAAGAGTGATGTGAGTAGTAGAGCTGTACAGGGGGATAGGCCAACAAGTGATATATGTGTCAGTAAGATTGGATTTGTAGCATTTAAAGCAATGGTTATCAACTGTACTACAGGGATGAAACATACACTACCAGTCAAACATTTGGACACATACTTATTCAAGGGTTTTTCTATATTTTTACTATTTTTTACATTGTAGAATAATAGTTAAGACATCAAAACTATGAAATAACACATATGGAATCATATAGTAACCAAAAAAATGTTAAACAAATCAAAATATATTTTATATTTGAGATTATTCAAATAGCCACCCTTTGCCTTGATGACAGCTTTGCACACTCTTGGCATTCTCTCAACCAGATTCACCTGGAATGATTTTCCAACAGTCTTGAAGGAGTTCCCACATATGCTGAACACTTGTTGGCTGCTTTTCCTTCACTCTGCCGTCCGACTCATCCCAAACCATCTAAATTGGGTTGAGGTCGGGGGATTGTGGAGGCCAGGTCATCTGATGCAGCACTCCATCACTCTCCTTCTTGGAAAAATAGCCCTTACACAGTAGATGCGCTTGTTTTGAGATCAAAGCGAAAGCTGCATGTAGCCACGTGTGCACATTTTGTTAACATTACATTTACATTTTAGTCATTTAGCAGATGATCTTATCCAGAGCGACTTACAGTTAGTGAGTGCATACATTTTTCATACTGGCCCCCCGTGGGAAACGAACCCACAACCCTGGCGTTGCAAGCGCCATGCTCTACCAAAGTCCCACAGGGGACTCCTTTGCTAGTTAGTGAGTTATTAGCCCAGTTATAGATAATTTGTAGTCAGCAATAGGGGAGTGATTGCTTCCTACAAGACCACAAAATGTGTACATCTTTGAAAAGTAAGTCAGGTAAAGAGTTTTATTTTTTTGTCTTAAAGGAGCAGTGTTGTATTTTGAGACAGACTTGAATAAGCTAAGTAGCCAATATGCAGAGGGTAGAATCATTTGTCTGGTTCTCTGTAATAATGGAATGGGAATAATAAAGTAAAGTGTTTTATTGCGTCAAAAAACACAACAACATTTTCTGTCACCTACTTGTCTGAAGGACAAGTGGATCAACAGGTTAATGGCAAGCCCTGCATGTGTTTTTCAAAAGTCTCATGGAATTTAGGCCTACATTGAACACCACACATTGGCTGCTACTGTAGGCTGAATGATAGAACAGCTATTTCCATGTTATGGGATGCATTTTTCCCATTCTTTTTTATAGTAGGCCACTCTGGTAGGCCTACATTATGATCAAATAGCCACAGTAGCCTGCTTGGCTACTTAAAGCGGGTACAGCATCAGTGTTCATATTAAATGCGCACTGGAAGTTGCACAGAATTTTCACAGCGTAAGTTTGTGCGATCAGCAGACCTGACATTTGCTCAGTGCTGACATTTTTTTGAGGGAACATTGGTTTCAAGTCTGGAGATTGCGATGGCTATTGCAAAATGTAGATTTTTGTGGCCAATTAACCATTTCTTTGTGGATTCCGATGTGTGCTAGGGATTATTGTCTTGCTGGTAGATCCACTTGTGGCCAAGTTTCAGCCTCCTGGCAGAGGCAACCAGGTTTTTGGCTAAAATGTCATGGTACTGGGTAATATTCATGATGCCATTGACCTTAACAAGGGTCCAAGGACCAGTGGAAGCAAAATAGCCCCTTAACATCAAAGATCCACCACCATATTTTACAGTAGGTGTGGGTATATTTTCTAGCCTAACGACTCACACTAAATGTTTCCGCTGCCATGTTATTCGCTACATACATTAGTCTGAGACTGCCATCATTGAAGTCGTTTGTGGTGGATCGTCTCTAACCAATCAGTATCAATGCCAATGACACATTTTCAAACCACCACTTTACACATGTGTGTTCTGGCTCTGGCCCAACACATCGGTTTCTGGACCAATCAATCAGCCCTGAATGCATTCGCATCCGGTGAAGGGTCGGGGATGTACTCAGATCCAGACTCATTGCGCAGAAGAAACTAACGTCCGTGGGCGTGGCATGGCGTTTGGCCGGAGCAAGGCGTCTGGGTAACCAGGCAAGTTATTTTCTGCTCATGCATTCTAATTTTTACGCCAAACCCACCACTGTTGTGCGTGACCAAAGAGCTGTATTTTCATTTCATCCAACAAATGTAAACTCCTGGAGTTCGCTAAACGGCATTGGCACTTGGATTGAAACCGGTGCTTTGGTCTGACGACATGAAAATAGAGCTGTTTCATTGCTAGCGTGGGGGCAGCAGTGAGTGTTAGAGTAGAGAGAGACGGAAACGGTTTTATTACAAACCAGTGATTCCACAGGAAAATGTTAAGTGATGATTCAAACACACAGAGCCCTTTGAACAGCAGGTAACAGTATAGCTGACATATAGCATAGCTGCGTCTGAAATGGCACCCTATAGGGTTAAATCTGGGATGCAACCATAGTCTAGGTCAGGGATGGGCATCTCCAGTCCTCCGGTGCCTGATTGGTGTCACACTTTTCCCCAGTTAGTGTGAAATCTCATTTACTGCACTTTACTGCCTTATGAAGAGGAGGAGGGAGGGAGGGAGGGAGGGAGGGAGGGAGGGAGAGAGGGAGGGAGGGAGGGAGAGAGGGAGGGAGGGAGGGAGAGTGAGAGAGAGGAGGATGAAGAGCAAAACAGGCTGGAGGACACTGATCGATCCTGGAGCCAGGCCTCCCAGTCAGAGTCCCAGGACAAACGGTTTCCTTCCACTTCCTACAACAGAGAGCACACACACACGCTTCGCAGTACACACTCACACACGCGCACACACACACAGGAACACGCACTCGATTACGCACACACATGCATGCGAGCACAAACACACACACGTCCACCCAGTATGGTCTCTCAGTTGGACATAATGCGGCTTAGAGAGGGGTTATCTCTATGCTGGAGTTTAATCAATGGATAGATGCTCATTTCTTTCCCTGCCTGTCATTTAAATCACTGGGTAACCTCCTTAATATGATTATATATAATCTTCCTGGTGAGGAAGAGGGATTTGTTTCACAGCAGCAATAACTGCATAGACAAACTTCTGAAGAAGGTTAAATAAGGATCTGCTCTACAGAGGAAATACAACTCATCTTTGTTTCCTGTTTTTGTTGTTGTTGTTTCCTTCAGATGAGAAAGAGGAGGGTATCCTCGGCAGCATCCTCCTGCCTAGCTTTCATATATCTATGCTGTCTGTCGACGACCACATCAACAGGAAATATGCCTTCAAGGTCAGTACTCAGTACTTGTTTTCATTATTTTGTCCAACTGTCGTTTGGCTTCCACAGTGGTTGATTCTAAGGGGAAATGAGTGAGAGATTCATTAGGAGACTAAATATTCCAGTTTGTTCGATTTATTTTAAAACAAAAATGTGAGAACAACAAGAAAGAGTGAGAGGGAGAAGGAGTTTAGTCAAGGATTAAGAGGGAAGAGAAAATTCTTTTCTTTTTTTTCTGGCGTGTGCTGCCACTACTTTAAGCATTGTTAGTAAGCTAAGAGTTTAGTCTTGGTCAAAGAGAGGAAAAATAAGGCTGTTTTATCTGGCATGTGCTGTTACTGCTATAGAGCATTGTTAGTAAGCAGCAGGAGCAGCCTTCAGCTCTAGAGCCTAAGAGTCCAGTGGCAGCCAGTCCTATTTCATTTTATGGCATCTCTCTCAGTGCTGTGGCTTTCTCTCTGGTCTGGTTCCTTTACAAAGCCACAGAGAGACGAGGGGTTCGGCTCAGCCCTGCCAAGCAGCACAGCCACACAGACGCCCAGGAGTCTTCCCAAGGTCTCTCTAACCAACCACACATTCTCAGTTTCCATCTCCTCAGAGAGAGAAGGAGGGAGGGAGAGAGATCATGGAGCGAGGGAGGGAGATGAAGGGAGAGGAGGAAGAAAACAGAGCTGTGCATGACCCCTGTAGTTCTAAAGAATAATAATAATAATAATAGTAATAATAATAATAATAATAATAATAATAATAATAATAATAATAATAGCAATATTTCACATAACTCAAAAGGCAATGGAATGAACTCTCCATATTCCTGTCTCTTATGTCGAACATGGCAGTTTCATAAGCCCCTTATTCCTCACTGAGTGTTGTTACAAATACATTTTGGGATGATACAGGAATGGCTGCCTTTAGTCTTCAGTCCCTGGTTAACAGGATATTGGGATTACTCGATGTGTTCTTGTCTTGTCTGTCTTTCTCTCTCTGCTGTCTCCTTCTTCCATGCACACACTAACAATGCCTGTGTTTGTCTACTGCGAGCGGATCTTGAGTGAGGAGAATCAGCAGCCTGTTTACCAGTCCAAGTGCTTCATGGTAAGTCCTGAGTCCTGATTCCATAATGTAGTGGTATACAAATCTGATGAGTCATGGGTTTAAATTAGTTTAGCCTACATGGTGGTGTGGATTTTATTATGTCAGGATATAATTATGTCAGGATGATATTATGTCCTAAAATATATGTTCTATGTGTCCTAAAATACCCATTCACACCAGCAGGAAGAATATAAACTAGTAATTGATGCTGTCAGAAAAAATTAACTGAGATTGGTAACGTCCATCATTGATAAGAGAAGATGCTGCTGTAAACAAACTATTCTGACTGACTGTTCACATATACAGTGTTGGCTTTAGAACTCAATTAAAGCCAGAGTAAAAGAGACCAGTTGACTCAACTAACCTGCTTCTTGCCCTCTCTCTCTTCTTCTCCAGGTAACCCTCTCTTCTCTTCGACTCTGATCCGGCAGGCAACACATCCCAACATGCGGACGTACTACTTTTGCACAGACGCAGCCAAAGACATGGAGTCATGGATGAAGGTGATGACAGACGCTGCCCTGGTGCACTCCGAGCCTGTCAAGAGGTTTGTACTCCATCAATCAATAAGTGACACTTTGTTTCCTATTCAGTTGAGATGTCTGTACTGAGCAGTAACAAAACAGAGACACTATTTCCCATTCGGTCGAGCTGTGATCCTCAGTCTATACTGGACGATTGCCTTAGTCAATTTAGCTACTGAAGTGGGAGGAATAGTTTGATTGGATCTCAAACAGTGTTTGAATAGTGGTAACCTCCTAGATAGAGATATTAAGGAGCTGTTCTGTTTTACTTGTCGTTTGTTGTTAGATGAGCTCTCTGAATTGCTTTCCTCAGACTGTAGTTGTTTAGGGAAGAGTCTCATCCACCTCAGCATATTCCACTCCTCGAGAATGAGACTTAGTGATACAGGAAACGCTGGCTCTTCACTGTTGCATAACCTGGCTATTGTCAGAGGATAGCGGTGTGTGTGTGTCATGGATGCACAATGCAGGTGTAGCGTGAAGGATGCATTAGCTACAGTACAAGCTGTACTGACTGTGTGTGTGTGTGTGTGTGTGTGTGTGTGTGTGTGGTTGTGTGATAGAGGTGTCATGTGTAGGGATTATGGGGATTTAGAAGGAAATAACAGTCACCTGGCAACCTTCCTCGACAACGCTTCCTCCTCTCTACAAGGCAGAACAGTGTGCGTGTGTGTCATTTACCTGGCAGAGTGGAGAGGAGGCCTAAACGGTGAAGTGTTTTTTAATTAAATGAAGTGATGTGATGGTGTCTCTGGCTGCAATCCACAGGGAGACACGTTAGCTAATTGAGCAGGTGACACTGGAACAACTCTGCTGCCAAATAAAAATAAAAATAAATTGCATTGGTTGTGGACACATATTTTGCAGATGTTATCGCGGGTGTAGCGAAATGCTTATGTTCCTAGCTCCAGCAGTGCAGTAATACCTAACAATCAAAAAACAATAAACACAAATCCCAAAGACAAAAAGAAAGGAATTAAGAAATATAGAAATATTAGAACGAGCAATATCAGAGTCCGGAATATACAGTGCATTCGGAAAGTATTCAGACCCCTTGACTTTTTCCACATTTTGTTACGTTACAGCCTTATTCTACAATTGATAAAATCGTTTTTTTCCTCATCAATCTACACACAATGTAATCCATTTTAGAATAAGGCTGTAATGTAACAAAATGTGGAAAAAGTCAAGGGGTCTGAATGCACTGTAAATATGTATTCTGTATGATGGTGTGTATAGATATTAAGGACAGTACATTAATAGAAAAGGTGTGTACAGCAGTAGTTATACTGAACAAAAATGTAAACGCAACATGTAAAGTATTGGTCCCATGTTTCATGAGCTGAAATAAAAGATCCCAGAAATGTTCCATACCCACAAAAAGCTTATTTCTCTCAAATGTAGTGCAGAAATGTATTTACATCCCTGTTAGTGAGCATTTGTTATTTGCCAAGGAAATCCATCCACCTGACAGGTGTGGCATATCAAGAAGCTGATCAAACAGCATGATCTTTACACAGGTGCACCTTGTGCTGGGGACAATAAAAGGCCACTCTAAAATGTGGAGTTTTGCCACACAACACAATGCCACAGATGTCTCAAGTTTTGAGGGAGCGTGCAATTGGCATGATGACTGCAGGAATGTCTATCAGAGCTGTTGCCAGATAATTGAATGTTCATTTCTCTACCATAAGCCACCTCCAATGTCATTTTAGAGAATTTGGCAGCACGTCCAACCGGCATCACAACCGCAGACCACGTTTAACCACGTAAGCCCAGGACCACCACATCCAGCTTCTTCACCTATGGCATCGTCTGAGACCAGCCACCCGGACAGCTGATGAAACTGTGGGTTTGCACAACCGAATAATTTCTACACAAACTGTCAGAAACCGTCTCAGGGAAGCTCATCTGCGTGCTCGTCATCCTCACCAGTGTCTTGACCTGACTGCAGTTCGGCGTCGTAACCGTCTTCAGTGGGCAAATGCTCACCTTCGATGGCCACTGGCACGCTGGAGAAGTGTGCTCTTCACGGATGAATCCCGGTTTCAACTGTACCGGGCAGATGGCGAGGGGTTTGCTGATGTCAACGTTGTGAACAGAGTGCCCCATGGTGGCAGTGGGGTTATGGTATGGGCAGGCATAAGCTACGGACAACAAACACAATTGCATTTTACCGATGTCAATTTCAATGCACAGAGATACCGTGATGAGATCCTGAGGCCCATTGTAGTGCCATTCATCCGCCACCATCACCTCATGTTTCAGCATGATAATGCACGGCCGTCGCAAGGATCTTTACACGATTCCTGGAAGCTGAAAATGTCCCAGTTCTTCCATGGCCTGCATACTAACCAGACATGTCACCCATTGAGCATGTTTGGGATGCTCTGGATAGACGTGTACGACAGCGTGTTCCAGTGCCCGCCAATATCCAACAACTTCGCACAGCCATTGAAGAGAGACAACATTCCACAGGTGACAATTAACATCCTGATGAAGTCTATGCAAAGGAGATGTGTCGAGCTGAATGAGGCAAATGGTGTTCACACCAGATACTAACTGGTTTTCTGATCCACAGATGCGAATCTGTATTCCCAGTCATGTGAAATCCATAGATTAGAGCCTAGTGAATTTATTTAAATTGTCTGATTTCCTTATATGAACTGTAACTCAACATTGTTGCATGTTGCGTTTATATTTTTGTTCAGTGTACACAGGGCAGCAGTCTCTAAAGTGCAGGGTTGAGTACCATGTGGAAGCCGGCTAGTAACAGTGACTAAAGTTCAGGGCAGGATACTGGGCGGAGGCCGGCTAGTGGTGACTATTTTACAGTCTGATGGCCTGGAGATAGAAGCTGTTTCTCAGTCTCTCGGTCCCAGCTTTGATGCAGCTGTACTGTCTCTGCCTTCTAGATGGTAGCGGGGTGAACAGGCCGTGGCTCGGGTGGCTGAGGTCCTTCCTGTGACACCAGGTGCTGTAGATGTCCTGGAGGGCAGGCAGTGTGCCCCTGGTGATGTGTTAGGCTCTGGAGAGCCCTGCGATTGCGGACGGTGCAGTTGCCGTACTAGGCGGTGATACAGCCCGAAAGGATGCTCTCAATGGTGCATGTGTAGAAGTTTATGAGGGTCTTAGGGGCCAAGACAAATTTCTTCAGCCTCTCTATGTGGATGGACTATTTCAGGTTGTCAGTGATGTGCACTCCGAGGAAGTTGAAGCTTTTCACCCTCTCCACTGCGGCCCCGTCGATGTGGATGGGGGCATGTTTCCTCTGCTGTCACCTGAAGTCCACGATCAGCTCCTTCGTTTTGTTGACGTTGAGGGAGAGGTTATTTTCCGGGCACCACTCCGTCAGGGCCCTAACCTCCTCCCTGTAGGTGCTGGTGCAAATGGCACTTTAGTCTATTTATTTGTCTCATCCCATCTCCTCTAGTGCTTTTGACCTTTTCTTTCTCTTAAAACCCAGTGGTACATTCTTAAAATCTGACTCTGGTAATTCGACCAAAACATCCCACTATTTTGCTTTATCTTGGAATGCATACTTTCACCTTTACTGTATCTGCACACATTGTAGCTCTACTCTAGTTGTTTGAGCATAAAACCTTTCATACTCATAAATGCATGCTCTTCAACCGAACGCTGCTTGCACCCGACCACCCGACTAGAATCACTACTCTCGGCGGGTCTGACCTAGAGTATGTGGACAACTACAAATACCTAGGTGTCTGGTTAGACTGTAAACTCTCCTTCCAGACTCACATTAAGAATCTCCAATCCAAAGTTAAATCTAGAATCGGTTTCCTATTTCGCAACAAAGCCTCCTTCACTCATGCTGCCAAACATGCCCTCGTAAAACTGACTATCCTACCGATCCTTGACTTCGGCGATGTCATTTACAAAATAGCCTCCAACACTCTACTCAGCAAATTGGATGTAGTCTATCACAGTGCCATCTGTTTTGTCACCAAAGCCCTATATACTACCCACCATTGTGACCTGTACGCTCTTGTTGGCTGGCCCTCACTACATATTCGTCGCCAAACCCACTGGCTCCAGGTCATCTACACTGCTCAAAAAAATAAAGGGAACACTGAAATAACACATCCTAGATCTGAATGAATGAAATAATCTTACGAAATACTTTTTTCTTTACATAGTTGAATGTGCTGACAACAAAATCACACACAAATTATCAATGGAAATCAAATGTATCAACCCATGGAGGTCTGGATTTGGAGTCACCCTCAAAATTAAAGTGGAAAACCACACTACAGGCTGATCCAACTTTGATGTAATGTCCTTAAAACAAGTCAAAATCAGGCTCAGTAGTGTGTGTGGCCTCCATGTGCCTGTATGACCTCCCTACAACGCCTGGGCATGCTCCTGATGAGGTGGCGGATGGTCTCCTGAGGGATCTGCTCCCAGACCTGGACTAAAGCATCCACCAACTCCTGGACAGTCTGTGGTGCAACGTGGCGTTGGTGGAGGGAGCGAGACATGATGTCCCGGATGTGCTCAATTGGATTCAGGTCTGGGGAACGGGCGGGCCAGTCCATAGCATCAATGCCTTCCTCTTGCAGGAACTGCTGACACACTCCAGTCACATGAGGTCTAGCATTGTCTTGCATTAGGAGGAACCCAGGGCCAACCGCACCAGCATATGGTCTCACAAGGGGTCTGAGGATCTCATCTCGGTACCTAATGGCAGTCAGGCTACCTCTGGCGAGCACATGGAGGGCTGTGCGGCCCCCCAAATAAATGCCACCCCACACCATGAATGACCCACCGCCAAACCGGTCATGCTGGAGGATGTTGCAGGCAGCAGAACATTCTCCACGGCATCTCCAGACTCTGTCACGTCTGTCACGTGTTCAGTGTGAACCTGCTTTCATCTGTGAAGAGCACAGGGCGCCAGTGGCGAATTTGCCAATCTTGGTGTTCTCTGGCAAATGCCAAACGTCCTGCACGGTGTTGGGCTGTAAGCACAACCCCCACCTGTGGACGTCGAGCCCTCATACCACCCTCATGGAGTTTGTTTCTGACCGTTTGAGCAGACACATGAACATTTGTGGCCTGCTGGAGGTCATTTTGCAGGGCTCTGACAGTGCTCCTCCTGCTCCTCCTTGCACAAAGGCGGAGGTAGCAGTCCTGCTGCTGGGTTGTTGCCCTCCTACGGCCTCCTCCACGTCTCCTGATGTACTGGCCTGTCTCCTGGTAGCGCCTCCATGCTCTGGACACTACGCTGACAGACACAGCAAACCTTCTTGCCACAGCTCACATTGATGTGCCATCCTGGATGAGCTGCACTACCTGAGCCACTTGTGTGGGTTGTAGACTCCGTCTCATGCTACCACTAGAGTGAAAGCACCGCCAGCATTCAAAAGTGACCAAAACATCAGCCAGGAAGCATAGGAACTGAGAAGTGGTCTGTGGTCACCACCTGCAAAACCAGTCCTTTATTGGGGGTGTCTTGCTAATTGCCTATAATTTCCACCTGTTGTCTATTCCATTTGCACAACAGCATGTGAAATGTATTGTCAATCAGTGTTGCTTCCTAAGTGGACAGTTTGATTTCACAGAAGTGTGATTGACTTGGAGTTACATTGTGTTGTTTAAGTGTTCCCTTTATTTTTTTGAGCAGTGTATAAATCACTGCTAGGCAAATCCCTGTCTTACCTTATGTCACGGATTCAGCCAAGGCTGCCCCTCCTCCTTCTTGCTCGGGCAGGCTTCGGCGTTCGTCGTCCCCGAGTACTAGCTGCTACCGATCTATGTTTCTGTGTTTGACTTGTTTGGTCTTTATTGTGTACACCTGTTTCCCATTATGTTGTATTGTCTTCCCTATATAACCCTCTGTCTTTCATTGTGTGTTGTGTGTGATTGTATTCGTCATCGGCAGTAGTTCGTGTGCGGGTTGTTTTCCTCCCTGTGTGGAGGTTGTTTATACTCTGGTTACTTTCGAGTAAAGTACGTTTCCAGTAAGCTCTGTGTCCTGCGTTTGACTTCGCCTACCGCATTCACTGATGCTCTGACACCTTAGCTCACTGGTCACCATAGCAACACCCACCCGTAGTCTGCCATTCCTTCCAGTTCTCTGCTGCCAATGACTGGAACGAACTGCAAAAATCTCTGAAGTTGGAGACTCTTATCTCCCTCACTAACATTAAGCGTCAGTTGTCAGACCAGCTTACGATCACTGCACCTGTACACAGCCATTCTGAAATTAGCCCACCCAACTACCTCATCCCCATATTGTTATTTATTTTGCTAATTTGCACCCCATTATCTCTATTTGTACATCATCTTTTGCACATCTATCATTCCAGTGTTAATACGAAATTGTAACTATTTTGCACTATGGCCTATTTATTGCCTTACCTCCATAACTTACTACATTTGCACACACTGTATATATATTTTCTGTTTGTATTTTTGACTTTATGTTTTGTTTACCCCATATGTAACTCTGTGTTGTTGTTTTTATTGCACTGCTTTGCTTTATCTTGGCCAGGTCGCAGTTGTAAATGAGAACTTGTTCTCAACTGGCTTACCTGGTTAAATAAAGGTGAAATAAATAAATAAATAAATAAATAAAAATAAATCCTCCCAGAAGTAAACAACCTTAAATACTGATGGAGCCTCGCAGCCTTTCTTCCAGCTAAATATGCTCCTGATCAGCCAGTCAGTGGTGTGTAATGTAGCAGAAACATGCCTGATGAGGTCATGCAGACAGGGTTTTCATAGGGCCCTGTATGACTTTCATAGTCCTGAAAGAGAGACAGACAGAGGGCTGGGAAACACATTATTTTGCTGGCTACTGCCATTAAACGCCAACGGCATGAGAGTGGAAACTGGAACGGCTGTCAAACAGTGTCAGATTGGTCTCTCTTTCTTTCTCGGTGTCTCTATCTCTCACTCTCTTCATCATTTCTCTCTCTCTCTCTCTTTCTTTCTTAACACTGAGATTCCCACACTGTGTCTTCCGGTGGATTGTCTTTGTTGATGTGACCTTGAGCTCATCCAAGGCAAAGGACCAATGGTATCCATTACCTTGAGAGAGCCACGGTACCAACCTGTTTAACATGATGTGTGTGTGACCCCAGAGAGATCATTGAGCGGCAGCACCTTCAGAGCCTGTCAGTCTGGACTGGAGTCAAAGCCAATAGTTGATTGGTCTTCTCTGGTTTCCTCTCTCTCAGCACTGGGCTGGCAGCTGCAGGATCTATTGTAGCTTAGCCCCTCATAGGATCACTTTCCCTTTGTCTCAGAGCTGCAGCTATACCAGTATAAAGCATGGCAGAGTGTCAGAGACGGACCTTGGTTCAAATACTATTTGAAGTATTTCAAATCCTTTGAGCGTTTGCTTTAGTCTGTCTGTAATACCATTGGTTCCATTGTGCCAGGCAAGCTCAATCAAGCTAAATCAAGCCCAGATAAAGTACCAGTATTTGAAAACATAACAACCCAAGTATGTCTCAGAGCTGCTGCCCATATATTATAAAGTATGGCTGAGTGTCATAGAGGAAGGTTGTTATTATTATTACAGCACAGTGTTGATATCCCGCTGTGTCAGGTTCTATTATGGTATATTCTGATTGGATAAAGGACTCAATCATTGCATCTGTGGAAACGCTGTGATTGGTTTCCATAGATTCCCAGGTGCCTTATATAAGGCTTGTCTGATTTTAGTTATTGGTCTATGTAGGGTGTAGCCTACTCTGTAGCTCAGTTGGTAGAGCATGGTGTTTGCAAAGCCAGGGTTGTGGGTTCGATTCCCACGGGGGGCCAGTATGAAAATGTATTCACTCGCTAACTGTAAGTCGCTCTGGATAAGAGTGTCTGCTAAATGACTCAAATGTAAAAATGTGTTGCTCCCTTTTCTCTCTCACTCTCTCCTGTGCAAGGGATTTGATCTTGATTGTATCTTGGATCGTTGACTTTGCTCTCCTGTTATTCTCTCTCATCCCTCCCTCCCTCCCTCCTTTCCCCTCGTCCTCCTCTTCCTCCTCCCCCATCCTCCTCCTCCCACCCTCTCTCCCTCTTTCCATCTCTCCAGCAGGTTACTAAAAGTAGAACAGTGCGGTCCTCAGGACGTCAGTAACCACGTTACCCAGAATCACCGACCGGTCCTAACCCGACCAGAGATCCAGAACAACGAGCGGAACCGAGCCGAGGCTGAGCGGGAACGGGAACGTTACACCGTCACTGCTGTAACCATGGTAACCTCCACCCCCACCGAGGAGGAGCAGGACAGGAAGCAGTGTGACGCGGAGCGCTACGGGTTCCAGAAGGAAGGGGCGGAGAGAGACCGGCCGCTCACTAAGATCAACAGCATCAAGCTACAGCCGGACCAGGCAGCAGCTGTTGCTGCTAACATCAGAGATGGATCCCTACGACAGGCAGACACACCAGACGGGCTCTACAGAGCCCCACAGGTGAACACAAGATATACTTAAGATGTGACTGACCCTGATATTTACTATATGATACTGTATGATTTACTATATGATACTGATCAAGACTGTTCCTGATGACTTAGGGCGTTTTCACACATACACTATATGTACAAAAGTATGTGGACACCCCTTCAAATTAGTGGATTTGGCTATTTCAGCCAGATCCGTTGCTGGCAGGTGTATAAAATCGAGCACACAACCATGTAATCTCCATAGACAAACGTTGGCAGTAGAATGGCCGTACTGAAGAGCTCAGTGACGTTCAACGTGGCACTGTCATAGGATGGCACCTTTCCAACAAGTCAGTTCGTAACATTTCTGCCCTACTAGCGCTGCCCCGGTCAACTGTAAGTGCTGGTATTGTCAAGTGGAAACGTCTAGGAGCAACAACGTCTCAGCCGCGAAGTGGTGGGCCACACACGCTCACAGAACGGGACCGGCAAGTGCTGAAGCACGTAGCGCGTAAAAATAGTCTGTCCTCAGTTGCAACACTCACTACCGAGTTCCAAACTGCCTCTGGAAGCGACATCAGCACAATAACTGTTCGTCGGGAGCTTCATTAAATTATTTACCATGGCCGAGCAGCCGCACACAAGCCTAAGATCACCATGGGCAATGCCAAGCGTCGGCTGGAGGGGTGTAAAGCTCGCCGCCATTGGACTCTGGAGCAGTGCCAACTGTAAAGTTTGGTGGAGGAGGAATAATGGTCTGGGGCTGTTTTTCATGGTTCGGGCTAGGCCCCTTAGTTCCAGTGAATGGAAATCTTAACGCTACAGCGTCCAAATTTGTGGCAGCAGTTTGGGGAAGGCCCTTTCCTGTTTCAGCATGACTATGCCCCCGTGCACAAAGCGAGGTCCATACAGGAATGGTTTGTCGAGATCGGTGTGGAAGAACTTGGCTGGCCTGCACAGAGCCCTGACCTCAACCCCATCGAACACCTTTGGGATGAAGTGGAATGCCGACTGCGAGCCAGGCCTAATCGCCCAACATCAGTGCCCGACCTCACTAATGCTCTTGTGGCTGAATGGAGGCAAGTCCCCGCAGCAATGTCCCAACATGGAAACCCTTCCCAGAAGAGTGGAGGCTGTTCCAAAGGGGGGACTAACTCCATATTAATGCCCATGATTTTGTAATGAGATGTTCGACGAGCAGTTGTCCACATACTTTTGGTCATGTGGTGTAGTTCTGAGCTATAGATTGAGTCAGACTTAGGTTATTAGTTACATTGTATTTTTTTCATTTGGTCCGGTTGGTTTCACATTCCCAAATGTTAAATGAACTAAAATGCCTAAACCAAACCATGTGTTCATGCAAGTAATTTGTTTATTGGTCAAGAAAGCTCAGATTAAATCCATCTATGATCATCAGGAAGCATCACTTTTGTGTCCCAATCATCTTATTACATTCACTTTGGTCTTCCAACAACATGCTGGAGGAAAACAGCGCAATAGGTGCTCTAACTGCGACGTGCATATTCTGTAGCCTATGTCCCCTGTATAGCTCTGTCTCCCCTAATCTGCATAGGATGCACTCATGAAGGCACTGCTACTCACAAAATGTTTCAAAGATATCAAGTTATGATCATGTGTAATCAAATGCTCACAGTCAAACAACCAATAATACTGCGAGCCTCTGGTTCTTTTCCTGTGTTTGTTCCGGACTGCGTTCACACCTGCAACGAACCGTACCACAGTACAAATGGAGATTGACCGAGACCACTCTTTTTGAGTGAACCACAGTGTGTCTTTTGGTGCTCTTCTGAGTGTGGATAATGTGTTCACACCAGTCCAAACTAACCGAACTAAGGGGGTAAACGCACCAGAGTTCGGAAAAAACGCTCCAAACCATTTTGGTGTGAAAGCCCCCTTAATTATATAAATTATATTGCTGTTGTTTCCTTTATTGATATACCCTATTTTATATAATTTTTATTAGTGGGAACATTGTTCATTGTAAATTGCAGCTGGAGTCTTTTATTGTAAATGTCAACCATTTTAGGGAGAGCTTGCTGTATTTCTGCAATGTGATCATAATCTTTTAACTTTGAACTCTAGGTGAATGGGTCCGGGGACCAGAGCCCAGGGGAGATGATGGCCCACCCCCAGCCCCACCAGACCCCCTCCATACAGGGCAGCATGACCCCCACCACCCCTACCCCCCAGTACCCCCAGCAAGAGCCCAGGACCCTGACCAGGACCAGCTCCATGCAGCAGCTGGAACAGTGGGTCCGCACACAAAGAGTACGCAACCAGGACGACGACACTAGAAGGTGGGTGGGGGGGTGTATGTTCTTGGTGTCCCAAGATGTTATCTCAGAGAACTTGAAATGTGTATGTATTCCTGCACTGAACAAGGAATTATGGAACAGAAAGTCAATTCAGAACCCTATACAGTAAAAGACTGCATTAACTGCCTCAGTTCTTTATTTTAAAAATGACATATTTGTGATCACTACAAGTAGTGGGCCGGAGTTGTTTTTCTTAATTTTTTACACATTCTTCACTTACCTGGTTAAATAAATAAAGGTTAAATAAATAAAATAAAATAAATAAATAAACCTCTCAGATGCTTTTTCAGACCCACAAAATAGTGTGACAGCGTCCTCTCTCTGATCCAAACCCTATTAGAAATGTAAAGCCCTCTGTAGTTCAATACTTTTTGATTCCAGTCACACTGACCAGACCAGAAAATATATAGGCCTACCATTGATGCCAGATGTATGAGAGTCTGCTCCTGTCTTGAGTGCAGTAGATTAGGTTATTGTAGGACAGTCAATTGTGTATTGTTCTTTCTGGACTGTAAGAAAAATGTATCAATACAGTATTCTTCTTCTTATAGCCTGTATCATCTGATAGCAGAAGAAAGAGAGGGGGGAAAGTGAACTTGTCTTAGTCCTGTTAGAAATGCTGGATCACGCAGCAGCCCAGCATCTAGTGGCAGAAGCTGCCTGCCTGCCTGCCTGCCTGCCTGCCTGCCTGCCTGCCTGCCTGCTTGCCTGCCTGCCTGCCTGCCTGCCTGCCTGCCTGCCTGTCTGCCTGCCTGCCTGCCTGCCTGCCTGCCTGCCTGCCTGCCTGCCTGCCTGCCTGCCTGCCTGCCTGCCTGCCTGCCTGCCTGCCTGCCTGTCTGTCTGTCTGCCTGCCTGCCTGCCTGCCTGCCTGCCTGCCTGCCTGCCTGCCTGCCTGCCTGCCTGCCTGCCTGCCTGCCTGCCTGCCTGCCTGCCTGCCTGCCTGCCTGTCTGCCTGCCTGTCTGTCTGTCTGTCTGTGTGTATGTACAGCGAGTCAGCAGGGATCCTGTTTTTCTCTCTCATCATTAGCTAGCAATCGGCGCCTTTAGCACAGTTCACAGTCTGAATAAGCTTTTTATTTTTACATAACACTGCAGTTTAAAGAGAATGCTTCGAGCACCTCTTTTTTTTTTTTTTTTACAAAAATGACTATTATTATATTCATTATTTTAAGCCACACATATTTGGCATAAACTATGACATCTCCCTGAAACCAAGCAGGCAGCAGCATTTGCAAACTCTTCAGTTTAAAGTGCGTATTAAAGTGAGAATAGTCATTCCGCAATCTGAGATCATTGCAGGGTGTTTGGATTGCAGTATTTTGCTGAATCTGTACCTCGCGTCAAACAGAACAGAGATAGGACCTCATGAATCATGAATGGTAATGAGGTAAACCACAGAGCTGCAGAGGTAAACAATGACAGTACACTGGGCAGAGGACGAGAGACGGACTGACTAACCAACTGCTCATCTGGGCAGAGTGGTGTTCATTAGGCAACCAGCTGAATAAAATGGACTGAAACAGGGAGGAATTATCTGTACTCTGGTATAATAAGAAAAGCATTTTTTTTTTCATTTTCTGTTTCAAAATCTTTTTTCTACTGTGCCCTACTGAACACAACCCAGGGCTTGCCCGCTTAATTGGGGGCAGAATGCTCAGCTTGACCCATCCAGCCAGATCCCTCAGAGCATCTCCCCCTCTTAATGTGGGCCATGGTCTGATTTCTCCATCCAGACAGCAGCCACTTAACTTTTCCTTGTTGTTCGCTCCAGCTGAACTCCTACTCCTCCAGCAGTGTGTGTTTGTTTGTGTGTGTGCTCTGTTTATCATTACTGGGCATAAATTATCTCCATGCCTCACCCCACCCCGCTCCACCGCAGCAGTCACATTATACGTATGTCGTCTCACATGATGCTTCATTTCCCCTGGGTTCAGTAGCAGTCTCCAGTCTCTAGTTGCATTATCCAGCATCTCTAAGTGAAGGTAATAGGCTGCTCTCTGGCTGTCTCTTTTTCTCTATATCTGGCTCTCTCTCAGTCTGTATCTGCACTTTCTGACCCGACTCTGACCGTCCTTCGTAAGTGGAGCAGTTTAAAATATTGTTGGTTGGTGGAATAATCATATTTGGCTTAAGGGTGTTTCTTCTCTCTCCTTTCAAGCATGTCGTTGTGTGCCCTCGTATGCTCGCACACACACAAACACACCCACGTCTTCTTCTTCACACATCTCGCACACAATGGTGTGTTTATCATATCTGTTATGGCAGTTGACAAATTATTCAAATGAACAGTGGCTAATGGTTCATAGCACAGATGAACTCACCACAAGGTTGGACAAAAAATGTAATCTGGATTTCAGCTAGGAAAATGTGTCGTTAACAGTTTGTGTACGTGCTCACTCCAATAACAGAGCATCACTGCCATTAGATGCATCTCTGACTGTGATGTTGGCAGTCTGTTACTCTGTTAGATTCACACCCCCAGGATAGTAGTGAGATCTTTTACAATTAAAGCTGCTTGCTGTTAGCCTGTTCATAAAGTTTCATAGAGACAGAGGTTGCTAAGGAGAATAAGTATTTAACTCTTCATTGAGTGTATTTGAACTCCAGGGATTTTCTTCATCCTCTGCATACAGTGCATTCGGAAAGTATTCAGACCCCTTGACTTTTACGACTTTGTTACGTTACAGCCTTATTCTAAAATTGATTAAATTGTTTGTTTGTTTTTCTCATCAATCTACACACAATACCCCATAATGAAAAAGCAAAAACTGATTTTTAGAAATGTCTGCAAATGTATTCAAAAATAAAAAACTGAAATATCACAGTTACGTAAGTATTCAGACCCTTTACTCAGTACTTTGTTGAAGCACATTTGGCAGCGATTACAGCCTTGAGTCTTCTTGGGTATGACGCTACAAGCTTCGCACACCTATATTTGGAGAGTTTCTCCTCTGCAGATCCTCTCACGCTCTGTCAGGTTGGATGGGGAGTGTCGCTGCACAGCTTTTTTCAGGTCTCTACAGAGATGTTCGATCGGGTTCAAGTCCAGGCTCAAGGACATTCAAAGACATGTCCCGAAGCCACTACTGCTTTGTCTTGCCTGTATGCTTAGGTCTGAGGTCCTGAGCGCTCTGGAGAAGGTTTTCATCAAGGATGTCTCTGTACTTTGCTCTATTCATCTTTCCCTCGATCCTGACTAGTCTTCCAGTCCCTGCCGCTGAAAAACATCCCCACAGCATGATGCTGCCACCACCATGCTTCACCGTAGGGAAGGTGCCAGGTTTACCCCAGACTTGACGCTTGGCATTCAGTCCAAAGAGTTCAATCTTGTTTCTCATGGTCTGAGTCCTTTAACTGCCTTTTGGCAAACTTCAAGCAAGCTGTCATGTGCCTTTTACTGAGTGGCTTCTGTCTGGCCACTCTACCATAAAGGCCTGATTGGTGGAGTGCTGCAGAGACGGTTGTCCTTCTGGAAGGTTCTCCCATCTCCACAGAGGAACTCTGAAGCTCTGTCAGAGAGACCATTGGGTTCTTGGTCACCTCCCTGACCAAGGCTCTTCTCCCCAGATTGCTCAGTTTGGCCAGGCGGCAAGCTCTAGGAAGAGTCTTGGTGTTTCCAAACTTCTTCCATTTAAGAATGATGGAGGCCACTGTGTTCTTGGGGACCTTCAATGCTGCAGGAATGTTTTGGTACCCTTCCCCAGGTCTGTGCCTCAACACAATCCTGTCTCAGAGCTCTACGGACAATTCCTTCGACCTCATGGCTTGGTTTCTGCTCTGACATGCTCTGTCAACTGTGGGACCTTATATAAACAGGTGTGTGCCTTTCCAAATCAATTCAAATCAAAGTCCAATCAATTGAATTTACTTCAAGTGGACTCCAATCAAGTTGTAGAAAAATCTCAAGGATGATCAATGGAAACAGGATGCACCTGAGCTCAATTTTGAGTCTCATAGCAAAGGGTCTGAATAATTATATAAATAAGGTATTTCAGTTTTTAATCTTTAATATATTTGCAAAATTTTCTAAAAACCTGTTTTCACTTTTTCATTATGGGGTTTAGTGCGTAGATTGATGAGGATTTTTTATTTTATAATAAGGCTGTAACGTAACAAACTGTGGAAAAAGTCAAGGGGTCTGAATACTTTCTGAATGCACTGTATATCATTGAAATTGGCCTACAGCCCAAATCAATATTCTCTATGTCCTGATGTTATATGTTGTCCTGATCACATCTCTGATCCTCCTCTTTCTCTTCTCTCTTCTCAGTATCATATCGTACCAGACTTTGCCTAGGAACATGCCCAGCCATCGGGCACCACCAGCCATGCCCCACTACGGGGACCCTGGCTACCGTACCTTACCTAGGAACAGCATGGCGCGGCCGGACAGTATCTGCAGCATGTCCCCCTCCATATACGACAAGGCCCTAGGCATGGGGCTGGGCCTGGGGATCTCGCCTGCAGACAAGAGGCGCTCCATGAGGGACGACACCATGTGGCAGCTGTATGAGTGGCAGCAGAGGCAGGGCTACATTCCCAAGTAGGCATGAGACTATAGAAATATCATTTCTAGAATAGGAATTCCCATTCAAGTTAATGTTCTGTAATGCTGGACCGGCAGCCATATTGAGTGTACCCATGAGTGCACCAGTCAAATTGAAGTGATCTGAATTGGAATGTCCATTAACTTCCTTAATTGACTGAATTGAAATGAAATGTACCCTAAGTAGTACCATCTCACCCCTAGCCCCAGGCCTATGTCGTCCACGCCCGGGCCCTACGGGGCCCTGCCCAGCCCCAAGACCATGATCAACCTGTCTGAGCACCAGGGTCACAGTCACCACTCTATCCCCCCCTCGCCTTCCCACGGCTCCTTGTCCATGTACGGGGGCTACTCGCCCCTCCGCTCCTCCTACAACCACAGCTCCAGTAGGTCAGAGGTGGGCTTGCCTGTATACCAGGGGGATGTCACTATAGACAGGAGACACAGCAGGACATCACACCTCAACAAGGTAAGAGGACTAGTCTGGACCTTGGTCTTCTAACACATGGTTGTATTCATTAGGGCACACAATGGAAAATATTTTTGCAACGGGACATGAATATGAACGATTCTTATTGAACAATTGCAGGAAGTTCCTCCATGGTCCAGTCTGTTTTCATCCGTTTGGTGCCTAATGAACACAACCCTGGCCCGCAATTGGGATGTATGCTTGCTGAATATTCCCCTGATTGAATACAACCCTACCTCTCTCTCTCTTCTCCAGTATGCCTACCCGCCTGACAGGAGGTCAATGCCAGCTGGGATCCCTGTCCAGACCATCATTGCCCAGTCTCTGCAAGGCAAAACGGTCAGTTCACTTCCCTCTCTCTCTCTCCTTCTTTCTCTCCCTCTCTTCATCCCTCTCCTCCCCTTGTCTGGTCTGACCTAATGTACCCTGCCCTTGGCCTTGATACACAGTCAGGCTTATAACACCCTGTCATTTAGTTTTCCATTCTGGTCTAATGGGGCTGCTGCTTCCAAAGACAAGTCACGTTCGTAATCACTATCCCCCCTCCTCTCTTTCCCTTCCAAGAGGAGGACATTGTCGCAGAGCTTCTGTAGTGGCAGATTAAGACAGGATTTAGATCCATGTTCCAAGTGATGTGGTTTAAAATGTGTTAACTCCCTGAGCCTCTCTAACCCAGCCGTTTACACTATGCAAGCGGCACTCGCCCAGACACGCTAGCCTCACCCTCATGTGGGTGCTAACAAGCTAGCAAGCAAGCTAGGTAGTGCTACGTGTCAACAGCCATTGTCAGCCAATCCAGTTGGGGTTGGAAGCTATGGTGAGCTTCGATAGGTCACTCGCGTCGCGATATCGCAGAGGATTTGAATAAAGTTCAGCTTTCCCCAACTTTAGTCCCACCCTGTTCAGCTCCCTCGCCCATGCTCGCATCGCTCAACGGTTCCCCCACCCACTCGGCTTCTCTCGCTTTCCTTCTTTCAATGGAAAGTGAATGGCTTCCGATGTTTCACCGCGCAATACCGCTTCCTAGTGGAAACACAGTGGAAAGCCCTGTTGTTCACAGCTCACTAAGCCATAGCCTTACCAACGGCGATACATCACTTTGGCTACATGGTGATGCAGTGCGACACAGTGCTTGGGGTACAGGGAACACTCTTGGGGTACACTTAGCTAGCAGGGACCTAGCGCTCTAGATGACCTCTCCTGGTGTGTGGTGTCCTCTCCAGTCCTGACACGTTCTGACCTGTCCTGCTTTCTGTCCTATCTTCCTGGCTCCTGTGTGTGATAGGGATGTGACAAATGTTTCAACTGCCTTTTCTTTTTTGGGGGGTTTTCTTTTAAAACGATAAGAAAATGACAGAACATTTGATGTGAAATCCTATTGTGTGGAATGATCTCTAGGGGCAATGAAGTTCTTACCGCAGTCATACAGTAGGTTTGAAAGGCTCTGGATGGTCAATCTGACATCTGCAGTGGCCGTACAGCATTTAAAGTGATACGGCCTCTGCAGAAGTCAGGGCATTCATAATACTTCTTGCTCTTTGTGGAGCAGAGCCGTTGTCAAGGAAGTGAGTTTGTCTTTATACAGGACCTCCCGCCCCCACCTACCGTCAACCAATCATGTCTATATGGAGCTATACGGAGCCCTCCATATTGTTACAACATTTGGGCTTAGCACGATGATGCGGCACGGAGCTCGATTTGGCCTCCGGAGGCTCCGCAATTGCGTCACACACTCCGTACGGAGCCTCCGGATCGCATTGTCGGAGCAAGCATAAAATGGCTTTTAGGCATCTGTAATCTGCTTTGTCCCGAAGACAACCGTTAATTCACCTTGGCTCTAGTGTTCCTTCCATTTGTTATGTGCATTAGCGACTCACAACAAAAAATTAACCTAGCCAAGTGATCACTTCTATTCCCTACATTCTCTTTTCCCTCCATTACGTGTCGCTCACTCATTTCCGATCCGACCGCTCCCTCTATACACAAGTGCTGCACACCCATGCTCCCAAGCCTACATAAATGACTGCCGAGAATGGGATACACAAACAAATGGGATATGCAAACAAAACTATAGATAAGCTACATTCCTTACCAAATCAAGACTGCTTTAGCACAAATTCAAAATGGATTGGTTGATTCAAGTAAGGAAATATAGTATGTGTTCCAAGCACTAGCTGCAGTTTTTGCAAACTGCGTAGCTATAGTGTGCCATTTAGAATATATTACAACCCCCCCCCCCCACCCCCCACACACTAAACCTAGGCAGGTTCCAGACTGAAATATGCAAGAAAAACGTTGTTTTGATGAATACAAATAGTGTTTTCATTAGTCTAAGGACCTACTTTCTTTCATGTTTAACAAAAGCCTGTCTACCAAGTTTAAGCTCATAAATCAAACACAGTGCAAAAGAAAACATGCACCAAATGCATGTATCTACTGGTTAAAAAGGGGAAGAAGTTTTGCTTTCTAATGCGGTTAACTGTATGTCTCAACTCCCATTTTAAAGGGAATAACACACTGGTGAAACGGGAGTAAATGCTGAACAGTGATATTGATGAGAAAGACATCTGTTTCTGTAGCGCGAGTCGTGGCTCAAATAGCGCTTGCAGCCTTTCATTTAGCAAATGACCTCGCCATTGGCAATGGTTGCATGTCAACTGCAATCATTTCTGTAATAATCAGCGCTTTCTTTTCCAACAATTAACGACGATGATGTTCGGAGCGCTTCTGCTGCAAATAATTTGAAAGATGCGTATCCCCTCTTACTAACATTACAGCATTGTTGTGTTAGGTAGGCCTATACAATGTTTGTTTACATTTACTCTGTTTACAAACATTGGAGTGAAACAAGCTTATATTTTGAGGTCTGATGGGGTACGACAGTTGAACTAAGCTCACGATCCATTTATAAGTTAAATTCTTCAAGAATCAATGGGTACATACAGCATCATTCATTTAGAAGTCCAACTGCTGATTGCCTCTTCGACGTTAATCCAATTTGGTTTATAAACGTTTGAATGTTTAAACGTTCACACCCCTAGTGTGTCATGTCCTATTCTCCTCTTCTCATGTCCCGACGTCTTCTCCCTCTGCCTTCTCTCCGCCCCCCTGCTCTCTGACCCCTAACCCCTACTCTGCCCTCCTGACCCGTCCTTCTCCTCTCCGGTCTTTCCTCCTGCGTCTCTCCGCCCCTCCCAATAGCCTGAGGAGCTGACCCTGCTGCTGATAAAGCTGCATCGGCAGGAGGCCGACCTAGACAGTGTTCAGAAGCAAACTGTAGCACAGCTTATGCAACTAAACCTCGATGGCGGCCGCAACCAAATGGGTCCCCTGAGGTCGCCACTGTGTGCTGTTGTCTCGTCGTGTGCCATGCCGCCGTCTACTACTCTCCATCCACTTGGGTCGTTCATTTTTGGAAGGGCCAGATGGGTGGTAAGGGGTGGGATGAGATTGTAGTCAGTGCTAAGGAGCTTGGGGCAGGTCATCACCTTACTGCCTCCTCAAAGGAAAGACCCTTTTATTTGAAGATGTCTCTTTCTGAATGTCCTTGTTCTTATATTAAACAAGAGCAATATTATATTATTATTGTTGTATTATAATGTTGCTTTTGTTTTTCTTGATGTAAATCGGCTTTCTTTCTCCTGTTTTTTAAAACTGTTAACCCTTGAATCTTTGTTGCTGACATAGGCTATTCGTGATGACTTTGTTGTTAATTGTAGTAATGTACGGTGAAGAGACACAGTGGGTGTACCAGCTTACTCCCTAAAAATAAACTCGGCAGATGTTGCCTGGAAATTAGAAACTCCAACTTAGTGATCTTGAAAAGTGGACTGGCTAAGTAGGCTTAGCTGGGTTGTGTACAGTAATGAATTCAGGACTTTGGTTTTTTTAAGTCTCTTTTAAGTCATCAGACAGGGATTTAAGTAATGTAGGGCACCCAAACTTGAGATGGGAAACAGTTGTTGGTGATCAAGTGTTAATAGTGGCACTAAAGCATGAACAATGGTAACGTTTTTGTCAATGGTGTGTCATATTGATTTTCTCCACCTAGTCCTCAAAGCATTCACACAGTCAGTGGTGTTGTGAGACACATTACATGCCTATGACCTATTATACAATGCAACACAGTAAGAAAAATAGTAGGGTTTTCTATCCTCCATTTACTCCCACTCACTTTCTCATCGCCAACAGTTTGTCCTTGTATGTGTCTCTTAGATCTAAACTGTTTGCCCTGTCTGTCTGTCTCTCTGTCTGTCTTTTTCTGTCATTCTCTATGTCTGTCCAGCTTTCTATCTGTCTGTTTCTATTGCCTAACGATCCTTTGCCTCGCTCACTCTCCCTTCTCTCTTTCCTCTCCTCTTTGCTGTTCTCTGCACTGCTGACCGACGCTAGAATGCCATTTTGTCTCATCACCTCCAAAGGAACCTCATGTATCTGGATAACCAGGTGGGGTAACTCTAACACATGGTCCTTATTTTGGGACAGATTTAGCTACCAAGTTTCAGACTTGCTCTGTCTCCATTTGTGTGTCTTTGTGGATGTACAATACCAGTGAAAAGTTTGGACACACCTACTCATTCCAGGGTTTTTCTTTATTTTGACTATTTCCTACATTGTAGAATAATAGTGAAGACATCAAAACTATGAAATAACACATATGGAATCATGAAGTAACCAAAAAAGTGTTAAACATATATATTTGAGATTCTTCAAAGTAGCCACCCTTTGCCTTGATGACAGCTTTGCACACTCTTGGCATTCTCTCAACCAGCTTCATGAGGTAATCACCTGGAATGCATTTCAATTATCAGATGTGCCTTGTTAAAAGTTAATTTGTGGAATTTCTTTCCTTCTTAATGCATTTGAGCCAAACAGTTGTGTTGTGACAAGGTAGGGTTCAATGTGTCAAATCGGAGGGCCTGTTGTCTGGACCTATGGCAGTCTCTATGGGGGTGCCACAGGGTTCAATTCTTGGGCCAACTCTTTTCTCTGTGTATATCAATGACGTCGCTCTTGCTGCTGGTGACTCTCAGATCCACCTCTACGCAGACGACACCATTTTGTATACATCTGGCCCTTCATTGGACACTGTGTTAACAAACCTCCAAACGAGCTTCAATTCCATACAACACTCCTTCAGTAGCCTCCAACTGCTCTTAAACACTAGTAAAACTAAATGCATGCTCTTCAACCGAACGCTGCTTGCACCCGCCCACCCGACTAGAATCACTACTCTAGACGGGTCTGACCTAGAGTATGTGGACAACTACAAATATCTAGGTGTCTGGTTAGACTGTAAACTCTCCTTCCAGACTCACATTAAGAATCTCAAATCCAAAGTTAAATCTAGAATCGGTTTCCTATTTCGCAACAAAGCCTCCTTCACTCATGCTGCCAAACATGCCCTCGTAAAACTGACTATCCTACCGATCCTTGACTTCGGCGATGTCATTTACAAAATAGCCTCCAACACTCTACTCAGCAAATTGGATGTTGTCTATCACAGTGCCATCCGTTTTGTCTCCAAAGCCCCATATAATACCCACCACTGTGACCTGTACGCTCTTGTTGGCTGGTCCTCACTACATATTCGTCGCCAAACCCACTGGCTCCAGGCCATCTATAAATCACTGCTAGGCAAATCCCCGCCTTATCTTAGCTCATTGGTCACCATAGCAACACCCACCCGTAGTCTGCGCTCCAGCGGGTATATCTCACTGGTCATCCCCAAAGCCAACACCTCCTTTGGCCGCAATTCCTTCCAGTTCTCTGCTGCCAATGACTGGAACAAATTGCAAAAATCTCTGAAGCTGGAGACACTTATCTCCCTCACTAACTTTAAGCATCAGTTGTCAGAGCACCTTACCGATCACTGCACCTGTACACAGCCCATCTGAAATTAGCCCGCCCAACTACCTCATCCCTATATTGTTATTTATTTTGCTCATTTGTACCCAGTATCTCTATTTGCACATCATCTCTTGCACATCATTCCAGTGTTAATACTAAATTGTAATTATTTTGCACTATAGCCTATTTTATTGCCTTACCTCCATAACTTGCTAAATTTGCACACTGTATATTAATTGTATTTCTGTTGTATTTTTGACTTTGTTTTGTTTTACCCCATATGTAACTCTGTGTTGTTGTTTTTATCGCACTGCTTTGCTTTATCTTGGCCAGGTCGCAGTTGTAAATGAGAACTTGTTCTCAACTGGTTTACCTGGTTAAATAAAGGTGAAATAAAAAAAAAAAAAAAAAAAAAGGGGTGGTATACAGAAGATAGCCCTATTTTTATAAAAGACCAAGTCCATATTATGGCAAGAACAGCTCAAATAAGCAAAGAGAAACGACAGTCCATCATTACTTTAAGACATGAAGGTCAGTCAATCTGGAAAAGTTTCTTCAAGTGCAGTCGCAAAAACCATCAAGCGCTATGATGAAACTGGCTCTCATGAGGACCGCCACAGTAAAGGAAGACCCAGAGTTACCTCTGCTGCAGAGGATAAGTTAATTAGACTTAACTGCACCTCAAATTACAGCCCAAACAAATGCTTCACAGAGTTCAAGTAACAGTCACATCTCAACATCAACTGTTCAGAGGAGACTGTGTGAATCAGGCCTTCGTGGTCGAATTGCTTTAAAGAAACCACTACTAAAGGACACCTATAATAAGAAGAGACTTGCTTGGGTCAAGAAACACAAGCAATGAACGTTAGACCGGTGGAAATCTGTCCTTTGGTCTGATGAGTCCAAATTTGAGATTTTTGGTTCCAACTGCCATGTCTTTGTGAGAGTAGGTGAACGGATGATCTCCGCATGTGTGGTTCCCACCGTGACGCATGGAGGAGGAGGTGTGATGGTGTGGGGTGCTTTGCTGGTGACTGTCTGTGATTTATTTAGAATTGAAGGCACACTTAACCAGCATGGCTACCACAGCATTCTGCAGCGATACGCCATCCCATCTGGTTTGTGCTTAGTGGGACTATCATTTGTTTTTTAACAGGACAATGACCCAAAACACACCTCCTGACTGTGTAAGGGCTATTTGACCAAGGAGAGTGATGGAGTGCTGCATCAGATGACCTGGCCTCCACAATCACCCGACCTCAACCCAGTTGAGATCGTTTGGGATGAGTTGGACCGCAGAGTGAAGGAAAAGTAGCCAACAAGTGCTCAGCATATGAGGGAACTCCTTCAAGACTGTTGAAAAAGCATTCCTCATGAAGCTGGTTGAGAGAATGCCAAGAGTGTGCAAAGCTGTCATCAAGGCAAAGGGTGGCTACTTTGAAGAATCTAAAATCTAAAACATATTTAGATTTGTTTAACACTTTTTTGGTTACTACATGATTCCATGTGTGTTATTTCATAGTTTTGATGTCTTCACTATTATTCTACAATGTAGAAAATAGTAAAAATAAAGAACACCCTGGAATGAGTAGGTGTGTCCAAACCTTTGAATGGTACTGTATATTTCTGTCTAAAAGGTGTTGTTTTTCCACGCTGCATTCGAGATGTCGGCTCATGTAGGTCAATATTTGAAAAGTTTAAAGTTTGAAAACTAGCGTGTGTGTAACATTTCTTTGGGGCTTTCCCTTGCCATGTGACATTTTGGATGAGAGCATGTTTGTGTGTGTGATCTATTATGATGGAAAAAGGTGGAGCTAGCATCATTGACAGTCAGTGTTGTCTCTAAACTGTCTAAAGCTCTGGTACAAACTGACTGTTCCCAAATTGCTGCTCCTCCTTTCCTCCATAATGAACAACTAGATGAAGGAAAATAAGCCTTTAATCGTGATGATTCACACATTGATAGAGAACTCAGCCCCCAGGCCTCAACTGTACCACCACCACTTAAGAGTAAGGTATTGGCCAGCCAACGCCGGCTAACGTTGCTTTCTTCAATCCATCCTCAGTTGTTTTATGGTCCGTCTTGCTCCTGCAATGATCCTCCCTGTATTGTTTGTGAATATAGCACTTCTCATTCATACAGCTTTTACTTTACTGTCTCCTGGAAAGTCAAACCACCAATGTGAACATGGCTTACATACAAACAGTAGTATGATGTGTACTGTATGTTCCACTGTCTGGTTAAAACCCCTCCTTCACTATTTACAGTTGTGTTTGTGCTTGTGTGTGCATGTTTGTGAGTGTGTGTATGTGTGTGCGGTATATTTCTATTCCATTGTTGTGTTGCCAGTGTTATGGGCCAACCGCACAACTCTGTTTCCACCAGTCTCTGTATGGGCAGTGAGAATTCACACTTAAAACAAACTATTTGAAACCACATATGTGACCGACCGCCTCGATTCGGTCTTATGTAGCAAAATTTGAAATTGTGTTTTTTACTTTGGATAAAAGTACTCAGAGCTATAAATGGTATATCATACACGACAGTTGAGGAACAATGGGAAAGTAATTCTGCTTTGAAAGTTGATAAACTTGTAACCCCACTTTTGAGAAAATGGCCCTTGAATGTTTTGGTACACATACTGGAGAGCTCTTCTTTGTCTGCACCCATTCAGCATCGTTCACACCCTCTTAAGCCTTAGTCCCACCCATCTCTTTAAGGATTCACATGTGAGGCCATGTGGAAAGCACACACTATATCAAATAAAAGTTTATTTGTCACATGCACAGGATACAGAAGGTGTAAACGGTGCAGTGATAGTGCTTGCATAGTAGCAATATCAAAAACAGAAAGTGTCCAGATAAAAAATAATTTACAAATATTTTATCGTTGTTAGATGACGCTTACCCAACACACTTGTCTAAATTGATGGGTCATGTGAAGGACATTCTATAACCAACCCTCACCCACATCTAGCTAAGTGGATGGGTCACTATTGTCTAGACATGTACACATGTTCATGCACAGTCAATCACCCCCAGACACACCTGCTAATTAGATGGGTCATGTAATAATCAGGTCGAAGTGGAGTCTTTTGTTTAGACATGTAGGTAGCTAGGTAGCTAGCTAGCTAAACAATGAACCCAACTCATACTACTACCAATACAAACATTGTCATAGCTGTAGTATGAATCTTCAGGTAGCTAAATCTAACAAACTAGGTTCAATGTTAGATAGCTAACATTAGGCTATAACTAGCAATGCAAATGGATTTCTGATTGGAATAATATTACTACACAGATCATACACGTAACGTTAGCTAGCGAGCCAGCAAGCTAACGTTTGCTAGCTAACTAACGGTATGTTTTAGCTTGCAATAAAAATGACTTTCTGACAAAATTAAAAATGTATATCTGGAAAATGTAGCTAGACTCTTACCCGTATACGTGGATGAACGCTTCACGGCAGACTGGAACCATTTAATTCCGTTTTGTTTGTAGCTACATCTTGTTTGGCCAGTGTTGTGTCAAGTCACTCCGGTTCACACTGACCGTGGCGTGTGCAGAAAGTAGCCCATCACTTTTTCCTACTGATCTGTCGATAGCGCCTGCTAAATTCAGGGCATCAATGTTGTTGAGAAAAGTAGGACAACTTTTGTAGTTCTCGATGGCTAACGTTATATCTTTCAAAAACGGCGCGGTAGAAAGGACTGTCAACACATACTGAACAGCTCACGTTATAGACAGAAGTGCGTTACATGGCAGACCAATCCAAACTCATCTCCCGGCATGTCCAGCCCATACATTATCTCAGCCAATCAAAGCTAGTGGGGAGGTTCCTGTTTTTTTCCCATGGCTAAACCAAATAGGCTCGTAATTTAACAATTGTATTCGTATTTGTGGATGGAATACAAGTTTGTTATTAAGGCACATGAAAATTCACGTTCCAGAAGGAATTTCTGCCAAAAAACACATTTAGGTAAAAAATAAATGTTTACAGTGCCTTGCAAAAGTACTCATCCCCCTTGGCGATTTTCCTATTTTGTTGCATTACAACCTGTAATTTAAATTGATTTTTATTTGGATTTCTTGTAATGGACATACACAAAATAGTCCAAATAAAAAATTACTTGTTTAAAAAAATTCTACAAAATAAATAACGGAAAGGTGGTGTGTGCATATGTATTCACCCCCTTTGCTATGAAGCCCCTAAATAAGATCTGGTGCAACCAATTACCTTCAGAAGTCACATAATTAGTTAAATAAAGTCCACCTGTGTGCAATTCAAGTGTCACATGATCTCAGCATATATACACCTATTCTGAAAGGCCCCAGTCTGCAACACCACTAAGCAAGTGGCACCACCAAGTAAGCGGCCCCATGAAGACCAAGGAGCTCTCCAAACAGGTCAGGGACAAAGTTGTGGAGAAGTACACATCAGGGTTGGGTTATAAAGAAATGTCAGAAACTTTGAACATCCCACGGAGCACCATTTTAAATCCATTATTAAAACATTGAAATAATATGGCACCACAACAAACCTGCCAAGAGAGAGCTGCCCTCCAAAACTCACGGACCAGGAAAGCTCCACAGCGGAGATTGGAGTATCTGTCCATAGGACCACTTTAAGCCGTACACTCCACAGAGTTGGGCTTTATGGAAGAGTGGCCAGAAAAAGCCATTGCTTAAAGAAAAAAATAAGCAAACACATTTGGTGTTCGCCAAAAGGCATGTGGGAGACTCCCCAAACATATGGAAGAAGGTACTCTGGTCAGATGAGACTAAAATTGAGCTTTTTGGCAATCGAGGAAAACGCTATGTCTTGCGCAAACCCAACACCTTTCATCACCCCGAGAACACCGATGCTTTTCATCGGCAGGGGCTGGGAAACTGGTCAGAATTAAAGGAATGATGGATGGCATTAAATACAGGGAAATTCTTGAGGGAAACATGTTTCAGTCCTCCAGAGATTTGAGACTGGTACGGAGGTTTACCTTTAGCATACTGCTAAATTAACACTTGACTGGTTTAAGGGGAAACATTTAAATGTCTTGGAATGGCCTAGTCAAAGCCCAGACCTCAATCCAATTGAGAATCTGTGGTATGACTTAAAGATTGCTGTACACCAGCGGAACCCATCAAACTTGAAGGAGCTGGAGCAGTTTTGCCTTGAAGAATGGGCAAAAATCCCAGTGGCTAGATGTGCCAAGCTTATAGAGACATACCCCAAGAGACTTGCAGCTGTAATTGCTGCAAAAGGTAGCTCTACAGCGGCAGGTAGCTTAGTGGGTAAGAGCGTTGTGCCAGTAACCGAAAGGTCGCTGGTTCTAATCCCAGAGCCGACTAGGTGAAAAATCTGTCGATGTGCCCTTGAGCAAGGCACTTAACCCTAATTGCTCCTGTAAGTCGCTCTGGATAAGAGCGTCTGCTAAATGACTAAAAATGTAAAAAATGTACAAAGTATTGACTTTTGGGGGGGGGGGGTGAATAGTTATGCACGCTCAAGTTTTCATTTTTATTTTTATTTTTTCTTGTTTCTTGTTTGTTTCACCCAAAAAAATATTTTGCGTCTTCAAAGTGGTAGGCATGTTGTGTAAATGAAATGATACAAACCCCCAAAAAATTCCAGGTTGTAAGGCAACAAAATAGGAAAAATGCCAAGGGAGAGAATACTTTTGCAAGCCACTGTACGTTCAAATGCTGCTCCTGTGAAGTAGTGATGTGCGACATACAGTGGGGAAAAAAAGTATTTAGTCAGCCACCAATTGTGCATGTTCTCCCACTTAAAAAGATTAGAGAGGCCTGTAATTGGCATCATAGGTACACGTCAACTATGACAGACAAATTGAGAAAAATAATTCCAGAAAATCACATTGTAGGATTTTTAATGAATTTATTTGCAAATTATGGTGGAAAATAATTATTTGGTCACCTACAAACAAGCAAGATTTCTGGCTCTCACAGACCTGTAACTTCTTCTTTAAGAGGCTCCTCTGTCCTCCACTCGTTACCTGTATTAATGGCACCTGTTTGAACTTGTTATCAGTATAAAAGACACATGTCCACAACCTCAAACAGTCACACTCCAAACTCCACTATGGCCAAGACCAAAGAGCTGTCATAGGACACCAGAAACAAAATTGTAGACCTGCACCAGGCTGGGAAGACTGAATCTGCAATAGGTAAGCAGCTTGGTTTGAAGAAATCAACTGTGGGAGCAATTATTAGGAAATGGAAGACATACAAGACCACTGATAATCTCCCTCGATCTGGGGCTCCACGCAAGATCTCACCCCGTGGGGTCAAAATGAAGAACGGTGAGCAAAAATCCCAGAACCACACGGGGGGACCTAGTGAATGACCTGCAGAGAGCTGGGACCAAAGTAACAAAGCCTACCATCAGTAACACACTACGCCGCCAGGGACTCAAATCCTGCAGTGCCAGACGTGTCCCCCTGCTTAAGCCAGTACATGTCCAGGCCCGTCTGAAGTTTGCTAGAGTGCATTTGGATGATCCAGAAGAGGATTGGGAGAATGTCATATGGTCAGATGAAACCAAAATATAACTTTTTGGTAAAAACTCAACTCGTCGTGTTTGGAGGACAAAGAATGCTGAGTTGCATCCAAAGAACACCATACCTACTGTGAAGCATGGGGGTGGAAACATCATGTTTTTGGGCTGTTTTTCTGCAAAGGGACCAGGACGACTGATCCGTGTAAAGGAAAGAATGAATGGGGCCATGTATCGTGAGATTTTGAGTGAAAACCTCCTTCCATCAGCAAGGGCATTGAAGATGAAACGTGGCTGGGTCTTTCAGCATGACAATGATCCCAAACACACCGCCCGGGCAACGAAAGATTCGTAAGAAGCATTTCAAGGTCCTGGAGTGGCCTAACCAGTCTCCAGATCTCAACCCCATAGAAAATATTTGGAGGGAGTTGAAAGTCCGTGTTGCCCAGCGACAGCCCCAAAACATCACTGCTCTAGAGGAGATCTGCATGGAGGAATGGGCCAAAATACCAGCAACAGTGTGTGAAAACCTTGTGAAGACTTACAGAAAACGTTTGACCTGTGTCATTGCCAACAAAGGGTATATAACAAAGTATTGAGAAACTTTTGTTTTTGACCAAATACTTATTTTCCACCATAATTTGCAAATAAATTCATAAAAAATCCTAAAATGTGATTTTCTGGATTTATTTTCTCATTTTGTCTTTCATAGTTGACGTGTACCTATGATGAAAATTACAGGCCTCTCTCATCTTTTCAAGTGGGAGAACTTGCACAATTGGTGGCTGACTAAATACTTTTTTCCCCCACTGTACGCCTTGTTTCCTGAAACGAGCCACATATCATTGTGGTTATGTTTTGATAGCATGAACTACTAGGGCTGACATCAATTTGTAATTTTAGACCTCCCTTGTTTGCTCCCTCGAGAGTGTAAGTTGGCCTATGTATTTCCTTTCTAAATTACGATGCAGGAGCAGATTTGCTTGAGAGGCTGTTTTTTTTGTGACGATTGTATGACGCTGCACACCACTTCTCTGACACTTTTGTGAACACCTCGGAAGGTGTAAAACTACTACTGTCTTCCTCTGTCCCCATATGTTGTCGGCATACCAGCACAGCGGCTGATATCCACACCTGACTGTCAGAGAAATGACCCTCCCTCCCAGGCTAAAACTCCCTGTGAGCCTGCATGCTCCGTGTGGAATGTCACCAACATACCACCTGGTCCACATGCTTTCTTTGTGCTGTGGTGTGGTGCTGGCAGACAACTGCGGGTGTGTGTATGTGGAAGAGAGGAGAGAGATTGCTGTTTGTCTGGACTGACTGATGTTAACGTATTCTGTAAGGAATGCCCTAGATTGTCTTTGAAATTATTTTGAATTTGCTCTATCTATTGGGGTAAAAGCAATTGTCAGTACAATAGTTTTTCTTTGAAATTATTTAGAATTTGCTCAGTCTATTGGGGTAAAAGCAATTGTAAGTACAATGCATTATGGGTTGCTAAGTAGATGTGGTACTAGTGACACTAATTAGCGGAGGAACAACCCCCAATCCCTTTCGTCAGACCTCTCTTCCCTTGTTATTAAGGCCAAACATTTAGCCCAATGAAACCATTTGCTTCAATAGGAGCTAAAAGGAAAGGAAAAAGTCAAGTCAACTATTGGCCCGATGTTCAGTCACTGTCTCAAATAAACCAATCCTGTTTATAAAAACACATTTTATTTTTCTTAGCACTTATTATAGCTCTGTTTGGCTCTCAGTCTTTATAGTCTGTGGTCGGTGTGTCAGTTTGGGACTCGTTTCAACTGTTCTGTTTTGTAACACAAACACTGGCCTGGACCACAGAGACTAGACAAACAGATTCCTCTGAAGACTTTATATGTGGTAAAGGCCCAATCTGGGATATGCCTTACTCTGTATGAGTGGGAGTATGTAGATTATGAAGACTAGGGGGCCCAGCACAGATCATTGGTGCACACCCTGTTGTTTTGAATTAAAGATAACGTTTTATTCTGGAAGAACATCATAAATGCATATCACTTATGCCTATAAGATCCCCCTAGAGTATATTGATGAACTGGTGCACAGACACTTCAAAACCTTATCCCTTATTATTTATTGACTGTCTTTTTTGCCATTTATGACTGTTATTCAATACATTTCTATGGGCTTTAGTAGTATTTTTGATACCTTAATTTTAAAGGTGTCCTAAAATTCAAAATCAAATAGTTAAATAATAAATGGTATGACCTTCTTAAAACAATTCCATATGTCAGCTTAGAACCCCCCTCCCTCCCCACGGCTTAGACTTTTAAGAAATAAGCGGTTCCACTTGGCAAACCAAGTGGCAGGGCTGCCATTGTTTTTCGAATTGCAGGCTGACCTTTTTAAAGTATGCTGGCAGTTGGACAACACAACCACCAGACATAGTTGGTGCCCTGACAGTCTGACAATATAGTTGAGTAAGCACATAGTTGTACCTGCCTTCTGCTTGCAGTGCCCTCTATAACCACTATATTCTGCTGAGGAAGACAAGTCACTCTGGATGTTGAATGCACCAGCAGCCTCAGAATAGACAGGCTGTTTAGACTAGACTGCCTGTTGTCCTGGTTGCTATCAGTATTATGTTTGGTGGTTTTGTAAATGTAGATGTATCTGGTTCAGTGAGAAATGACAAACCATTTGCACAATTCTATTCAATGAACTTTACTTATCCCAGAGGTGCAATCATTGCTGGCAGGCATAGGATACAGATTGAAAGACAATAACATACACTTAGTTAATACAACGGGTAATAATATGACCTCATCATGAAGCTGCATTAGATATGATTCTACTGTAACTGCCTGTCCTTCTCTACAGATGAGCCCAGAGGAATACAGGGAACACTCCTACATGTGCAGGCCGGAGGAAGTCGACATTGATGTAAGTCCAACACACTCAAGTATGGCTACTGTGACACATTTTCCTATGGGAAATACTGTGGACTGTCTTGGGTATGATAGTCTTAGGTATGGGGAAGCAAGAAAAATATGGATCTCCTATAGTTATCTGGACTATATAATGTACACCATATACAGCACAGCCTGTTCTGACCTCCCCCCTGTGTTGTGTTGACTCTGGAAATATCTGAAAAGATTTACACTATATATACAAAAGTATGTGGACACCCCTTCAAATGAGTGGATTCGGCTATTTCTGCTACACCCGTTGCTGACAGGTGTATAAGATCAACACATGCAATCTCCATAGACAAACATTGGCAGTAGAATTAACTTACTGAAGAGCTCAGTTACTTTCAACGTGGCACCGTCATAGGATGCCACCTTTCCAACTAGTCAGTTCTTACAATGTCTGCCCTGCTGTTATTGTGAAATGGAAACGTGTAGGAGCAACAACGGCTCAGCCGTGAAGTGGTAGGCCACACAAGCTCACAGAACGGGACCGCCGAGTGCTGAAGCTCGTAGCGCATAAAAATCGTCTGTCCTCAGTTGCAACACTCACTACCGAGTTCCAAACTGCCTCTGGAAGCAACATCAGCACAATAACTGTTCGTCGGGAGCTTCATGAAATGGGTTTCCATGGCCATGGGCAATGCCAAGCGTCCGCTGGAGGGGTGTAAAGCTTGCCGCAATGGTACTCTGGAGCAGTGGAAACGCGTTTTCTGGAGTGATGAATCACGCTTCACCATCTGGCAGTCCATCTGACAAATCTGGGTTTGGCGGATGCCAGGAGAATGCTACCTGCCCCAATGCATAGTGCCAACTGTAAAGTTTGGTGGAGGAGGAATAATGATCTGGGGCTGTTTTTCATGGTTCGGGCTAGGACCGAATGACATTCTAGAGGATTCTGTGCCTCAGACTTTGTGGCAACAGTTTGGGGAAGGCCCTTTCCTGTTTCATCATGACAATGCCCCCATGCACAAAGCGAGGTCCATACAGAAATGGTTTGTCGAGATCGGTGTAGAAGAATTTGGCCTGCACAGAGCCCTGACCTCAACCCAATCGAACACCTTTGGGATGAATTGGAACGCCAACTGCGAGCCAGACCTAATCGCCCAACATCAGTGCCCGACCTCACTAATGCTCTTGTGGCTGAATGGAAGCAAGTCCCCGCAGCAATGTCCCAACATCTAGTGGAAAGCCTTCCCAGAAGAGTGGAGGCTGTTATAGCAGCAAAGGAGGGACCAACTCCATATTAACGCCCATGATTTTGGAATGAGATGTTCGACGAGCAGGTATCCACATACTTTTGGTCATATAGTGTACATCATCTGATCGGATTGTTTCTGTTCTCCTACTCAGGCCAAGCTGAGCAGGTTGTGTGAACAGGACAGGGTTGTCCGGACGCAGGAGGACAAGCTACAGCAGCTACACAGAGAGAAGGTAATGGATCTGTCTGCAATACACCCTGCTGATGTGATGTCTCCTCACCACTTACTTAACAAAGCCTCTAACACATGGAGTGGACCCAATATAGAGGTGTTCTAGCACTTTAGTAGGGCCCTGTAAAATCCACGTGGCGGACGGAATCACGGAATCCAGACATTGAAACGGAATTCAACAATATACAATGTTTTATTGAACTTAATAGTAGGAAATCAACTCAAATGTATTGAACTTATTCGAAAATGCATTAATTTCCCCAAGTTAATCATAAGACATGAACAAAATGCATCAGTGATTCGTATTTTCCTGCAACTTTCTGAAACGGCACAGGAAGGGCCCTGTCTGTGTGTATGCCGTGTGCGCATATGTCTACACTTTGTGTAGCCGTTAGCGATGATGCTAATGATAACCTTCTTCTAGTAGAGATGGAAAGGCTTTGTGTGTTGTTGTTCTCTAATGGTGGTCCCCTCCACAGCATACCCTGGAGATGGCCTTGCTGTCGGCCAGTCAGGAGATAGAGATGGGCTTTGAAAACCCAGCCGCTGTACACAGTGTCATCCAGCAGAGTGAAGTGCTACAGAGTGGCTTGCTCAGTACCTGTAGAGAGCTATTCAGAGTTAACACTGTGAGTATATGTATACACTACACTACACGCACACACACAAACACACACACACACACACAAACACTGCATGCCTGGGAGAAGAGTCTGTGTGTATGATATAAGGCGATGTCATTGACTCTCTTCCTCTCCCCAGGAGTTGGAGCGGTCATGGAGGAATTATGAGAAGATGGAGGGAGATGTCTCATTGGCCAAGAACAACCTGCTGGAGCAACTAGAGGCACTGGGAAGCCCTCAGGTACACAACAACAACAACAACAACCATTAACCCCTGCATTACTCTGCCTTACTCTGTGGTAGTGGGAGTATGTCGATTATGAAGAGTAGGGGTCCCAGCAGGGAGCCCTGGGGCACACCCTGTGTGACTTTGAGAGTGTCGGAGGGGTAGCTATTGAGAGTGATGAATGGTTTCCTATTTAGTGAGGTAGGATCGGATCCGTCCATCCAGCTGTCCATTCATCCATCCATCCATTTATCCATCCATTCATTCCTCTCTATCTCTCACTCCCTCTCAATTTCTCCCCTATCCTGTAGCTGATAGAGGGGTAATAGCATCAGTGGGGAAATAAAGCTGTAAGGCAGGTGATTGATCACAACACTGTGAGAGGGGCAGATTTTAATTAGATCCGAGGGCTGTGTTTTCTCTCTCTCTTTTTCTCTCTCTTTCTTTCTCTCTTATATCCCTCTGTTTTTATATCCCTCTCTTTTCATTCCTCCCTTTATTCATGTATTCCTCAGTCAGTCAGAGCCCAGATTAATTAATATAGCCTCAGTGCCCTTCATAGACACACACAGGCCTGTCATCAGCAGGGAGTGGCTCATTATCTGCTCCTCTCTTTCCTTATCCCTCAGCCACAAGCCTAATACAAGGTCTCGCTGGCATAGGAGCATGGTCAGCCTTACTCTCTCCCTCTCTCTCTTTCTATCTCTCTTTCTCTTTCTCTCTCTCTCTCTATCTCTCTCTCTCTCTCTCTCTCTCTCTCTCTCTCTCTCTCTCTCTCTCTCTCTCTCTCTCTCTCTCTCTCTCTCCCTCTCGCTCTCTCTCATTTACTTTTATCATCTCCTGTTTTTTTATTTCAAATGAAATGTATCTTTCTGTTCAACTTTTATTGTTAATTTATAGTCTCTGTGTGTGTGTGTGTTCAGACAGAGCCACCCTTTTTACATGTATCTCTTTCTCTCTGTCAGACGGAGCCCCCCAGCCAGCAGCATGTCCACATCCAGAAGGAGCTGTGGAGGATCCAGGACGTGATGGAAGCCCTCAGCAAGAACAAGGCCCAGAGGAGCTCAGACACACAGGGATACTACTGCTCCACGCCCATCTCCAACCAACACAAGAGTGAGGTGAGGAGCACACATGCACAAATGTGCACACACATACACTGTGTGTACAAAACATTTTTTCACGCTCAACAGTGTATCAAGAATGCTCCACCACCCAAAGGACATCCAGCCAACTTGACACAACTGTGGGATGCATTGGAGTCAACATGGGTTGCATCCCTGTGGATTTTGACACCTTGTAGAGCAGGGATCATCAACTATATTCAGCCGCGGGGTGATTTTTTCTTAAGCGGATGGTCGGGGGCCAGAACATAATAATATAATAATAATAATATAATATAATAATATAATATGCCATTTAGCAGACGCTTTTATCCAAAGCGACTTACAGTCGTGCGTGCATACATTTTTTTTTTTTTTTTGTGTATGGGTGGTCCCGGGGATCGAACCCACTACCTTGGCGTTACAAGCGCCGTGCTCTACCAGCTGAGCTACAGAGGACATGATAACAAATCATTTGTTGACTGCAAATTGATCGCAAGAAGCCCAAACAGATATAATATTTGACTAAAACATAATAATTTCAAACCTTGCTTACATTTGTATATGATCATGTGTCTCTCTATAATACGTGGAAATACTTGGGAACAGATTTTCCAAATTAAAATCACTTGGAGCTGATTTCCTGGAGTTTTTACCGTTGTTTTATGTCCAACAATGAAAATTCAACCCCCGCTCAGATAAATTGGGGGGCCAAATAAAACCACCCGGGTGCCAAATTCTGCCCGTGGGCCGCCAGTTGGTGAACCCTGTTGTAGAGTCCATGCCCCAATGAATTGAGGCTGTTCTGAGGGCAAAAGGGGTGCAACTCAATATTAGGAAGGCGTTTCCCTAATGTTTTGTATACTCAGTGTAAATCTGTATACTAGACTGCCTGTAAGTACAGTATCTAGTTTGTGAGAGGCTCTGCTCAGAGGAGGCTCTATCCTTCCTCTCTTGATGTCATAGATGGTTGGATTCCTCTGAGTGGGCTGTCATGTGCAGTGTTAGATGTGTAAGTCAGTGACCTTGTCCCTGGGTGATGTACTGTGACTCTCTATAATGAGATCGGAGGCCCTCTCCAACCCAGCTGCCACCCAGCCACCGCGGGCGGGGTACATGTGTCACCTTGTCCTCCTGCCTGCTCTGCCCTACCCTGTGTGATCTCTGCCATGTATACAGTGCATTAGGAAAGTATTCAGACCCCTTGACTTTTTCCACATTTTGTTACGTAACAGCCTTATTCTAAAATTGATAAAATAGTTTTTTAATCTACACACAATACCCCATAATGACAAAACATAAACAGGTTTTTATACATTTTTGACAATGTAAAAAAACTGTACTATCACATTTACATAAGTATCAGACCCTTTACTCAGTACTTTGTTAAAGCACCTTTTGGCAGCAATTACAGCCTCGAGTCTTCTTGGGTATGACGCTACAAGCTTAGCACACCTGTATTTGGGGAGTTTCTCCCATCATCTTCGGGCTCTGTCTGGGCCACTAAAGGACATTCAGAGACTTGTTCCGAAGCAACTCCTGCGTTGTCTTGGCTGTGTGCTTAGGGTCATTGTCCTGTTGTTAGGTGAACCTTCGCCCCAGTCTAAAGTCCTGAGTGCTCTGGAGCAGGTTTTCATCAAGGATCTCGCTGTACTTTGCTACATTCATCTTTCGCGCGATCCTGACTATTCTCCCAGTGCCTGCCGCTGAAAAACATCCCCACATCATGACGTTGCCACCACCATGCTTCACCGTAGGGATGGTGCCAGGTTTCCTCCAGACGTGAAACTTGGCATTCAGGCCAAAGAGTTCAATCTTGGTTTTATCAGACCAAATAATCTTGTTTTTCATGGTCTGAGAGTCCTTTAGGTGCCTTTTGGCAAACTCCAAGCGGACTGTCATGTGCCTTTTACTGAGGAGTGGCTTCCATCTGACCACTCTACCGTAAAGGCCTGATTGGCCAGGCGTCCAGCTCTAGGAAGTGTCTTGGTGGTTCCAAACTTCTTCCATTTTAAGAATGATGGAGGCCACTGTGTTCTTCGGGACCTTCAATGCTGCAGCATTTTTTTGGTACCCTTCCCCAGATCTGTGCCTCGACACAATCCTGTCTCAGAGCTCTACGGACAATTCCTTCTACCTCATGGCTTGGTTTTTGCTCTGACATGTACTGTCAACTGTGGGGCCTTATATAGACAGGTATGTGCCTTTCCAACTCATGTCCAATCAATTTAATTTACCACAGGTGGACTCCAATCAAGTTGTAGAAACATTCCAAGGATGATCAATGGAAACCGGACGCACCTAAACTCAATTCCGAGTCTCATAGCAAAGGGTCTGAATACTTACAGTACCGGTCAAAGGTTTTCGAACACCTACTCATTCAAGGTTTTTTCTTTATTTTTACTATTTTTTTTACATTGTAGAATAATAGTGAAGACATCAAAACTATGAAATAACACATGTGGATTCATGTAGTAACCAAAAAAGTGTTTAACAAATCAAAATAAATATAATTTATATTTGAGATTCTATAAATAGCCACCCTTTGCCTTGATGACAGCTTTGCATACTCTTGGCATTCTCTCAAGCAGCTTCACCTGGAATGCTTTTCCAACAGTCTTGAAGGAGTTCCCACATATGCTGAGCACTTGTTGGCTGCTTTTACTTCACTCTGTGGTCCGACTCATCCCAAACCATCTCAATTTGGTTGAGGTCGGGGGATTGTGGAGGCCAGGTCACCTGATGCAGCACTCCATCACTCTCATTATTGGTAAAATAGCCCTTACACAGCCCGGAGGTGTGTTGGGTCATTGTCCTGTTGAAAAACAAATGATTATCTCACTAAGCCCAAACCAGATGGGAATGGCGTATCGCTGCAGAATGCAGTGGTAGCCATGCTGGTTAAGTGTGCCTTGAATTCTAAATAAATCACATACGGTGTCACCAGCAAAGCACCCCGCACCATAACACCTCCTCCTCCATGCTTTATGGTGGGAAATACACATGTGGAGATCATCCGTTCACCCACACCGCGTCTCACAAAGACACAGCGGTTGGAACCAAAAATCTCAAATTTGGACTCCAGACCAAAGGACAAATTTCCACCGGTCTAATGTCCATTGCTCGTGTTTCTTGGCCCAAGCAGGTCTCTTCTCCTTATTGGTGTCCTTTAGTAGTGGTTTCTTTGCAGCAGAGGTAACTCTGGGTCTTCCATTCCTGTGGTGGTCCTAATGAGAACCAGTTTCATCATAGAACTTGATGGTTTTTGCTGCTGCACTTGAAGAAACTTTCAAAGTTCTTGAAATTGTCCGTATTGACTGACCTTCATGTCTTAAAGTAATGATGGACTGTCGTTTCTCTTTGCTTATTTGAGCTGTTCTTGCCATAATATGGACTTGGTCTTTTACCAAATAGGGCTATCATCTGTATACCACCACTACCTTGTCACAACACAACTGATTTGCTCAAACGCATTAAAATTAAAGAAATTCCACAAATTAACTTTTAAGAAGGCACACCTGTTAATTTAAATGCGTTCCAGGTGACTAACTCATAAAGCTGGTTGAGAGAATGCCAAGAGTGTGCAAAGCTGTCATCAAGGCTAAGAGTGGCTATTTGAAGAATCTCAAATATAAAATATATATTTTGACCAGTAGTGTCTGTAAATAAGGTATTTCTGTTTTTTTTTTATTATAAATGTGCAAAAATACACTGTTTTCACTTTGTCATTATGGGGTATTGTGTGTAGATTGATGATTACATTTTTTTATTTAATCAATTTTAGAATAAGGCTGTAACATAACAAAAGGTGAAGGGGTCTGAATACTTTCCGAATACACTGTATGTGAATTTATATAATTTTAAGTGCTGCCATCTTGAACAGCTCTCTCTTGTAAACAAGAGCTTCTGACACTTATGGGTTGTGGAAGTCCTGTGGGAGTGAAAAAGTTAGTGCTGTTTAGTAGGGGTGTAACGATCCATCTACTACATCGATGTATCGATTTATATTCCTATGATCCAACTACATCGATCTGTGCTCGGCGAGTTGGCCTTTTGGACAACATATATCAATATAACATCGTTTTAAAATGTAATAAATCGATTGTATCGATACTAGGAAATAACCCATTGGATTTAAGCACGTCAGACTTTATATGGATGTTTTTTCTTAGCACTTTTAATGATAAAGGCTTTAAACATTACTCGATTCAGTCTGCCTATCCGTGACGTCATCGCCCCGCGCCAGCAGCAGCGCAAAGGCGCAAAGACAACAAAACATAGCATGGCGGACGACAGAGGAGAAGCCGACGAGCGAGAAATTATCAAGCCACCATTGCGGTCCTTACAAGAAACAGGAATCTAGGAAACTTCACCTGCACTGTCCAGTATCCAGGTATTTATTTCAGTCACACTGGTTGAATTTTTGGCTAAAAGGTTACTGAATCGATTTCAAGTCACTGAATCGTTTCGGATCGTATCGTTCTAAATGAACCAATATCGTCCTTGAATCGTATCGACAACCACGAATCGTGATACAAATCGAATCGTTGTTAAAACGAATCGTTACACCCCTACTGTTTAGTCTTGTCACAGGTTTTTGTTCATGTGTATGATGTGTATCTGTCTTAACAATAACAAAATTGATCACACAAAAATTAGTACAACCTGTATAAATAAAGGTTAAATAACATCTCCAGGAGGAGGAGTTGGAAGTGGAGAACCTCTCGGCTCCCCCGCGGCCGCCCCTACCCCAGGCCTACGAGCCCAACCAGCCCAACCTTGCTGCCATACCCCACCTGCCCTCTCCCGTTACCTCCAGCGGGCGACCGCCACCCCACCGGGGTTCCGAGGATAGGGACCGGAAGGCCGGCCAGAGAAACGGAACACACAGCGTAAGCTGTTGACCTCTGACTTATGTCATTACCCCTGCGGCGCTGTCATCACTCATGATCGCGTTGATCCCCCTCTTGTTTTTGTTTTTTTCAGTATCATTTTGGTGCTTATTTTTGGATTCTTTTCAGTTTTTCCTCATCATAAGGACCAATATATGTATGATGTTCCTTTATCCACTTGCTTTGCCCCCTCTTTTTCGATTTAATATTTCAATATTATTTTGGTGGACTTATTATTATTTTGGGATTCTTTTGAGTTTTCCCTCAACCCTTCCTCGTCATAAATGTGGATGTATTTTTGGGTTCTTTTTATTTTCTTCATAGAAGGCTTCATCCTGTGTTTGGTGCTGATCATACGTACATCTGTTTCGTTCAGCTTTCTTTGTGAATCATTCACATTTGTTTGTTTTATTTTGTTTGTGTTGATTAGTTTCTGTCGTTTTGGAGGTTATTTCAGTTAACTTCACTGATTTTGTTTGTATTGTATGGTTGGTTGGTTGGTTTGTTGTCCTTTCAATTCTCATTTTGAGCTTTGTGATTTATGAACACTTTATTGTCCATTTCTTTAGCAGATCATGGAAATATAACATTTTGATTTGAGCCTATCAGCATGTCTTTATTGTGAATAAATCATTTTGTCACCCATCTCTTCTGATGTCAGTGCGTGTACTGATCTTTCTCCTGTCATGTATCTTTGTGTACTGACTGATCTCTCTCTCATGTACCCCTGTAGGGTCCTGACTACAGGTTGTATAAGAGTGAACCAGAGCTCACCACTGTAGCCGAGGTGGACGAGACAAACGGAGAGGACAGATCTGAACAGTCTGACAGAGACCCCTCCAACACCAAAGGTACACAGTAGAAAACACTCCCAAATGGAATGAAAGAGGGAGGGACTAATTGACCTTGTCCAATTAGATTTTTTTTTTTTACGGGGTGCCCTAATGAACATGACCCTGGATAGAGGTGCTACTCTATGTTAGCAGCATTACTAAACTAATAGCAGAACTATCTTCACTATTCAGAAGCTGTATGAGCTCAGATGTGTTACATAACTTTAATATTTCTGTTTTTCCCTCCAGGAATGTCGTACCCCGTTGGTATCGTTCCCCCCAGAACCAAATCTCCCATGATAGCGGAGTCTTCCACCATCGCCTCCTACGTCACACTGAGGAAGGGCAGGAGGCCAGAACCACGCATGGTGAATGTGTGTGTGTGTGTGTGTGTGTGTGTGTGTGTGTGTGTGTGTGTGTGTGTGTGTCGCATGATCAGTGTAGTTACCCTGAGGAAAGGCAGGAGGCCAGACCCACGCATGGCAAGTGTGTCTGAGATGTATGGACATAATCAATATAGTTAAGGAATTGGATATTAGATCATATCTAAAGTGGAATTGGTTAAGGGGGTGATATTAGGCTAAGTGTTAAGGTCAGGCATAGGGTTAACAAACCGCAATCCAGAACCATTCAAAGTCTGCCAGCTGTACATACACTGCCTATAGTTTATTTGTCCCAATGTCAGTTCTCACTCTGCAGGCAGCCTGTTAGTGACAACAACCATTGGAATTCATGATGGATCAGTGTGTAGAGTGGCAAAATGGCCACCACAACTTCAGTATCTACTCTAAAGCATTTTACAGTGGTGGAAACATTTCATAGTGGCTTTCTTTGTGTCATTGTTTGTTGCTGTTGATGTGGAGGAGGGCAGGGTGCAGGGCGAGCCCCTAATGTTGTGTTCTAGGGTGTGACACACACTGTGGCTAGGATGGGTCTGTGACTCATGCTTTCCTACAGGGCTGGAATCAAATATAGCAAACCTTGATTTATACACACAGTTATGAGGACCAAAGGCCTCCACAGCTCCTCTTAAAACGACTCACCATGTTATTAGGATAGTCAGTGACGGGTGTGGTTGCCTTCTGTAAGGAGTGTGTGCCCACTTCTCTGGTGTGCCAGCTATGTTAGTGTCAGGGCTCAAAACTGCGACCAAAACACTTGCATAAGCTACCCTTTGACTTGGCAGTGCGACACCAATTTTTTATGGGTCGCTATTGTGCCAGTACAAAATGTTGGGCTGGTCACGTTAGTTTTTGGTTCACTATTTGATTTTTGTATTATCAAAATGTATTCAAACAGCAATGGGTATGCAACAATGGGTAAACAAACCAGGTATTCAAAAGGTTTGGTCCGAAGTCTTGGTTGAATCTTTGCAATGCACAATTCAGTCATCATGCGCTGTTTGAATGAACATTTCTAAAGGCTTTCCCAAAAAACCTTCACAATGTTGACTGCAAAGTAGGCCTACCTGGCAGAATGATATCATGATGACTTGTATCAATTGCGGGTCATTTGTTTTGCGAACTCTGCCATCACATGTAGCCTACACAGTACAAACATGCTGCAATTGAATTAAAGGGCAACTACACCCTCCAAATTATATATAATTTTTATTGTTCCAAGACCTCAAAAGTTGTCTCCTGATGTGTTTTAAGCATTGTTGTGGACTCAGAACATCCAATTGTTGTAGTTTTTCTATAAAGAAGTGTGCATTTGAGAGTGAAAACCTGAAAATAAATAGGAAAACCGGGAAAAATTCAACCGGGAAAATATAATTTACCGAAAGATTAAACTAATTTTTATCTACAACTGTAGTGACTGTTCAAAATCACTAACAATAACAGCTTTTTTGAGATTGTAAATATGATATTGTCAAGTTAAAATTAGTTGTGTATGGAGGATAGGCTACTTGCTTAACCCACAAATTAAAGATAACATTTAAATGATGCGCGCATCATTCGCTTTCCCGAGCCAGTATTCTTTTCATTTGGGCTAGTAGCTTCCAGTGGCACTGGAACATTTACCTGAACGTCAAGCCCAGCAAGGGCATGTTAATTTAAAAGATGGCTATTCATTATTTGCCTGGTTCTGTATGGAAAGCAGGTTGTAGCAATGGTAAATGTAAAACACTGGTAAATGTAACAACTTTTCTATTTGTAATAACTTTTCTATTGTTAACTAAATAAACCCAGTAAATGTAATAACTTTCCGGTAAACATAATAAAATGTTGAACGGTACACATAATAACTTTTTCTGCTAAATGTAATAAGTTATTACATTTACCGGTGGTTATTACATTTACCGGTTAGTAACAACGTTTTTATAAATAATGTAATAACTTCAACCAATCATCTAATAAGATGTTTTTATGTACTGCTTGCCTCAATTTTATACACGTACCACCACCCACTGCCAATTACAACACAAACAAACTCATGCACATCATACAGGAATACTGATATATAGAGACACTCACAAGCTAACATTGAAATGTACACACATGCACAGTCACACTACTGAACTGATACCGTAATAACCACCGGATAACATAATAATAATAATTTTGTTATCCAGTGGTTATTACGGTATCAGTTCAGTAGCAACTTTCTTGATGAATAACATAATAACTTCAACCGATCATGTAATAACATTCCAAAATCAATGTCTTCAAGACTGTTGTAAAAGCATTCCAGGTGAAGCTGGTCGAGAGAATGCCAAGTGTGCAAAGCTGTCATCAAGGCAAAGGGTGGCTATTTGAAGAATCTCAAATATATAATATATTCCTTACGTATGTGGGCAACCGCAGCAATGAAAACTAATGGGACTGTAGCGACTGTGTTGGCATCAAAATCCGGGGAGTGAACTAAGTTTTGATTCAGCATTGATTGACATGGTAATGGACCAATAGTATTGGAGAAAAGTTGAAAAAAACGGACCCTGCTGACGCTGTACGTTAAAGTGTGACATGTCACGACATAACGTACGGCACGCATTATTCAACTCATTCTGTGCCGTACAGCCTCTTTCCACCAGGTGTAGCGCTTCTCTCGCAGATTAAAAACAAGAAATGATCAATGGTGAGTGTAAAGTTAATTACTCGTGAGTTCATCAGTAGTTAATTCAATCAATTGTTAATTTTTCGCGTAATCACTGTGAGCCATCATGACTCTCAAAAACCGTGACACCCACAGTTTAATTGTGAAGATAAATTTAGCGCCGCCCTAAAAACCCTATTCAAATTCGACACAAACCTTCAAATGGGTATGTAATGAGACATTTATATAACTCTTTATAGTGTTTTATTTACATTTTAGAGGTGATAAGTTGGACAAATCGGGTGAAAAAAGCCGGTTCCCCACACAACATATCTCCCCCTTTCACTATGACGCAGCAGCTTTCGCTTCCCCACCCGCCAGTTTTATAAAGACCCGGCGGAGCTCCATTTGCTTTCTTCAATCATGCAGAGACGGGCAGCATGAAGGTCTCGTCATTGACTTTGCTGGAAAGGGGAGAAATTGTGCTTTACAATGGTATTCATATTACAGTTGACCTGGAAGTATTACGTTTTTGGGGCGCTAAAATAAGGTCAAATGTACAGAACAGCGCGATGTACAAAAGTGTGTTAGCTACCGTTAGGTGTGTCCAAACTTTTGACTAGTAGTGTATGTACGCCCCCTTTGGTGTTGCCAAAACACACGTACTGGTATATACCCACACATACACACTCAACATGTATTACAAACACACACACAAATGCACACACACTCACAGGAACACATAGGCATGTGACAGAATAACACACACATACATACTCAGGTAGCATTTTATTTCAAAATAAAAGTATTGTATAATGGAAACATATTTTTGTTGTCACTGTACCCAACCCTATGACACAGAACAGGCTTGGAGCAGAACAGGCTCAGCCTTGCCCTTGTAGCAATTAATGGGCAAAGTGCCTTACTCATGGCTACCAAGGCAGTAGGGGAGAGCACCTGAAAAGTGATGTAGGTGTAATTCAACTAGGTGTAATTCAACTAAAGATTTGTGTAAGCTCCCTGCCTACGCTAAACGCTAAACGTAGGCAGGGAGCTTACACAAATCTTTAGTTGAATTACACCTAGTTGAATTACACCTACATCACTTTTCAGGTGCTATCCCCTAGTAACATAGTCTTGTGGCCTGCAGGAGACCTAGGTTAGACACCAGTCTGTCCCATTCGTGCTGTGACCTAGATAGGTATCTGTGAGGAAGTGAAATGGGTAGTGGACTGTAATGAACGTGGTTCTGTAAATCATCCTTGAGGCAATATTTGAGGCTATACTTTGTTTGGAGTATGGAGTAAAATAATATAATATTATGATGGGCTAAGCCCAAGCTCTGTAAGCATATGAAGCATTAAATAAATGTTATATTGTTCAATAACATTCAGAATCACCTTTATTCGCAACGGACATTTACATATACCAGGAATTTGATTCGGTGAAATGGTTCATATAGATAATAAACATAATATACAGACAGAATATATTGACAAAGATTTTCTGAATCTGCACACTATCAAAAGCAAAAAACAGAATACACCTCCCTTGGTATTTTTCCTATTTTGTTGCCTTACAACCTGGAATTAAAATGGATTTTTTGTGGGTTTGTATCATTTGATTTACACAACATGCCTACCACTTTGCGGATGCAAAAAAAATTATATTGTGAAACAAACAAGAAATAAGACAAAGAAACAGAAAACTTTAGCGTGCATAACTAACCTCCATCTTGCGTTACAAACACTAAACTTGTCCGTTCAGTAGCGGGACAAGACTCTGTGACGATGATGTGCAGCATTATGAAATATGTCACGATGTAAACGGGGCATAAGTAACATATAAAAAAAAAATCCCCATCGAAATCCATCAATTTAGGCTATATGTTTTTTTGCATGGTGTTCTCGGGATGATGAGAGGTGTTGGGTTTGTGCCAGACATAGCGTTTTCCTTGATGGCCTAAAAGCTCAATTTTAGTCTCATCTGACCAGAGTACCTTCTTCCATATGTTTGGGGAGTCTCCCACATGCCTTTCGGCGAACACCAAACGTGTTTGCTTATTTTTTTCTTTAAGCAATGTATTTTTTCTGGCCACTCTTCCGCTCTGTGGAGTATACGGCTTAAAGTGGTCCTATGGACAGATACTCCAATCTCCGCTGTGGAGCTTTGCAGCTCCTTCAGGGTTATCTTTGGTCTCTTTGTTGCCTCTCTGATTAATGCCCTCATTGCCTGGTCCGTGAGTTTTGGTGGGCGGCCCTCTCTTGGCAGGTTTGTTGTGGTGCCATATTATTTCCATTTTTTTAATAATGGATTTAATGGTGCTCTGTGGGATGTTCCAAGTTTCAGATATTTTTTTATAACCCAACCCTGATCTGTACTTCTCCACAACTTTGTCCCTGACCTGTTTGGAGAGCTCCTTGGTCTTAATGGTGCTGCTTGCTTGGTGGTGCCCCTTGCTTAGTGGTGTTGCAGACTCTGGGGCCTT